ACCCCTTCGGCCACCCCTTCGGCCACCCCTTCGGCCACCCCATCGGCGGCCCCATCGGCGGCCCTTTCAACCTCTAATTCGGCCACCACTACTAGTTTGAGCTCATAGGCGGCCACATCGGCGGCCCCATCGGCGGCCCCATCGGCGGCCCCATCGGCGGCCATCTAATGCGAGCACCTCTCCTTCGGTCTCTTTCCCTTGAACTTGCCTTCATTGCAACCCCAAAAGAAAGGACCTGACCGGAACCGTCCGAGTGCCACAAAAACCATCTCCCACCGACTATTTCGTTGTTTGAAGTATCGAACACGAACAAATAAAAAATAGTTGTGCTTTGACTACTATCATATCGGGTACGGAACGCAAAATCTCTATATATTCCTTCGTCTTGCGTTCTGTTTCGTATTCTAGCGCAGATTAATACTATACTATTTAATGTTCAAATTTTATTGCACAGAGCAAAGATGCTGTAATAGTCAACACTGCCACCGCCAGGAATTATCCTTTCTTCTACTCGCCATTGGATATTCCATGACTTCCATCGCTTATTCATCCCAGTGGCAGTTTCAGAGCTGTCACGCAATCGAACACTAGGCGAAACATTGAAATCCATCCCCCACTTCGATATAGCTACTCCTAAACAAAAAAAAGTCAACGCAAGAATTGAATTCTAACCTTAAAACGGTACTATAGTACATTTGTTGCCCAAAGAATATTGCGTGGCGGATAACCCCTTCTACCTCGACACGGATGTTGTTCGGAGTTTGTAGTGGCTGCATTATTTTTTGTGTCAACGCCAGCAAGACAGAGATTTTATTCTATTTTGGCCGTTCTCTGCCTTCCATCCTTGCCGTGTATGGTTTGTGATTGCTTTGCCCTTTCTTTGTGTTGCTGTTGTTCTCCTTCATTGAGAGGATTGTTCTTGTTCTCCTTTCGGTTCTTCACTGCTCTCTATCGAAGGAGTTATTGGAACGTCTGCAAAGTAGTGCTTCATGTTTTTCCCCAGGTCTCTTTTATGGTCACCGACTGAACCAAATCTCAAATCTGCATCGATTCTCCCGTCGACAAGAAGCCCGCATAGCCGTTGTAGAGAAAACATTGTGCAAATCGTGCCACTCGGCTCAGCTCCAAAAAGTCGAGAATGCCCTGAGACGTTTTTTCGAATTTGGTGTTGTAATTGTCATTACAGACCTTGTGGACGGGAAAGTCATTGCCTTGTGTCTCCCCGCTCAACAATTTGGTGGAAGTGTGCGCTAGATTGCTCTTCTTCTGCTACTTCTTCCTTTCTCGATCTGCTACCACTCCCTGCTGCAGCCGCATCGGTTTCTACATCATCTTCAAAGTAGTGCTTCACATCGCTCCAGGTCTCTTCGCTAGCCACCGATTTCACCAAGTCCCGAATGTTTCTCAGTTCTTCTGGGGGAAAGTATCCACCATAGTCTTTCCTGGAAGTGAACTCACGGAAGGGTGCCACCTGTTTCAGATCCAAAAAGTCAAGGATGCCGTTGGCTGTCTCTTCAAATTTGGTGTTGTAATCCTCGTAGTAGACTTTGTGCACCGGTACATCCCTGGGAGGAAAGTCAAATCCTTCTGCTTTGCCCCTCATGATGTTGATGACATCGTGTGCCAGGTTGTGCCACTGGGTCCATTTGTAAAACTCTCCGTGGCAGGGAGCCTTGGGGATCTTAGATTTCGAGCCAAAAAACGCAATGTCCTCCTCCAGATAATCCTTTGAGAATGCGTCGCACCACTTGTGCAATCCCTTGGCGTCGTTCGAGTGGTTCTCCTGCCAGTTGGTGTCGTTTTTGTATCCCTTGTGTCGGTGCTCCAGGTGGTAGCGGGCAATGATGTTGTGCATGGGATTGCGGATCAGGTGGATGGCCCTCTGGACGCGCTCCGAGGGGTACTCCACGTCGTACTTGCGTCGGACCTTGGCCGGTGTCAGGAGGGCATGGCCGAGGGTGCACCTTCTGAGAAACTCTTCGGGCGTTTCGATGTACTCGTCGGGTCCGCACTTGCTGCAGCGGCTGCCGCAGTGGGTCTTTGTGATCACAAAGTGGTCGGGCAGTTCCCGTGGCGTGTGCATCTTTCCGGAAAGGCCGGGCCAGAAGGGTCCCTCGGGACGGCGGGGATAGATGGACAGCGAATTGGGTTCGTCGGGAGCGATAATCTCGTTGCCGTAGTTCGTGGCAAAGGACTTGTTGGTGGACCGTGCCACCATGGTCATTGTGAAGGAGGTTCCGCTGTTGGGAAAGGACATGAGCCATGCAATACCGGGTGTGAACTCGTTCTCCGGCTCCAGGACAAATTTCCCCGAGGCCGCATTCGGATTGCGATGGTACTTGTGAACCGTCGAATAGCGTTCGTGGTGGGAATTCTTCTTCAGGTACTCCTTGCGGGCGTCTTCGTAATGCTCTTCGTCGAGCAACTTTTTTTCCTCCCTGGTCATCCAATACCCGGCCGTGACCATGATCAAAACCATAATCAACAGGCGACGGTTCTTGCGGGTGCCAAGGGCCGACCCGAACGAGGAGGCAGCCGTCGGTGGCTGCGAAATCGGCAAAGCCGGAGTCGTTCCGTTGGGCTTTTCCGTGGTTCCGTTACCATTTTGTTCGTTGGGTCGTCGCCGAGGAATCATCCTGTTTGTTTTTGCGTTGGTGCTGGTGGTTTTGACGTCGCCGATGTGTTCAATGAAATCCTCTGCGCAGTATGGCAATCAAGTCCTTGCGACAGGCGAAACCGCAATGGCTCTGCGAAAGCACAAAGCGATGCGATKGAACGAGACGAAACGAAACGAGACACGACAGACCAGTCGGCTCCTTTCTAACTTCGGCTCACGGTTGTTCGGTGGTGACTGGGTTGGAGATGTATCCGTGGTAGTAATGGCAAGACAGATTGACCTATCCTTCGGCAGACTTCCGGTGGGTTAGGATGCGAGAAAAGGACGAGGGCACGGAGATGTGTTTTTGTTTTGCTGTCACTATTTGTAGGTTTGAGCAGTACGTACTCGTACTTCTAGATTGGTTCACGCTACGGCGGCATCTCCAATCGTTCCCGGGTTCGTTGGATGGATATTTCGCATTGTTCTAGCCCGTACTCGAAAGTGTATTTTTATCAGTTTTTCTCACCCATCGTACTCGTACTCTACAAAGAGGTGCGTTACTCGTACGTAAGATTCGATGGCCTCATTTTCGAGTCGTTGGTAGACAAAAAACGAGCCTGCCATGCGAGCAAAGAAATCAAATTGCCACTAACTATGAATAAGAGACACTAACATTATGTACATATACATGTACATGATCGAGATTGGTCGAAGGAGTCCATTTCAATTGACTCTACGGTTTGGTTTTACCGGTGGGTCTGCAATACGAACTACGTACGACGACCTGGTCTCTGTCTGTTGAAATTAGAGTACGAGTACTACGGTACGTACAAGTTTAGGTGACGTGCCCCGTAGCCGTGAGATCTCTACACAGGTCAAGTGAAGTACAACGCGATCAATACAGTACCGTAACACCCTTGCGCCAGAAATGTTACAGTACGAGACTACTTCTATTTACAGTATTTAGGCCGTATCGTGAAGGTCCTGCAAGCTGTTTGAACATTATGGTACCAGGTAATAGAAGTACGAAGTACTCGTCCTCGTATTGCGCATTTTCCGTCGAAGTCGCGCAAATCGTATGCAGTTTCACAAAATGCAAGGACCACATACGCGAATGACGGTTTATGGTACTGTACCGTACGTAAAGCGTATTGCGCCGTACTCGTACTTACCCCTCCTGATGTACATACGCTGCTAGGGGAACTTTCCCATGTAGCTTTGTGCTCGCATTTTATGAAGGGTGCGGCAGCACTTTGGTCTCAAAAACGAATCAATCCCACGTTGAAGCGGTTCGGCACATTCAAACAAAACCATTAGAACCGGTTCGGCACACTCAAACAAAACCATCTCTGTTCGGGGCAATTCAAAGTAAACGCGCCGAACATTGCATTCAGTACCGTTGGGCGTCACTCGTTGCAGCAAAAAATATCAATTGCTTTCTAGAAAACCCATCGACGTCAATCGACGTCAACAACCATCAACCATCGACGACCACAAACGGAATGCTTTTCTCTACCGAACCATCACCCCTAAAACATTTCTTGCCGGTATCACGAAATATATGACAGCATATTTGTCACGCATAACCGATCCACTCAGTGTCCTCGTTCCAAAAATTCGATGACACCAGTCCCGTTATAATTTTCATCACGTTTCCCGAACACATATCTTACATACTTCTACATCGAATCTTATCGCAACAGCTGCACAGTTCACTCGTTCGATTGCCACTCTGCCACAACGCAAAGTTCTACATTGCAGTACATTGCATCACCCAACCGAAACTAACACAATGAAATACTTTTTGGTGCCAGCAGTTGTGTGCCTGGTCCTGCTGCCGAAGGGTGTCTCTTCCTTCTCGCCGCCGGCGTCCAGGGCCACCTCCCGCTTGCCTCCTCCAGCTGTCGCGACCTCTGCGGCGACAACTACCAGTACTCGGCTCTTTGGCTACAACCCCATCGAAGACGAAACCCCGGAGGAACGCGCGGCCCGGATGGAACTGGTCCGGAAGCTCCAGCAAACCTTTTACAAGGAAGGGATCGACGATGACGACCACCAGGAACACACCGAAGAAACACAAACAGGCACCGGGGACGCAGACACAAGAGTCGAGCTAGAGGCCGAAGCTGCAGCGACGACGACACCGTCGACCACCGTTCTGAGGGATTTACCGCTGTGGCGGGTGCAGTGGAGAGAACTCCCCGGCTCGCAAAACGTTCTGAACGTCCACGTGCCACACTACACCAACATGTTTCAGAAGATACTCAAGGGACGGACCAAGCCGTGGGGGGGCTTTGGTCGCAACGCCACGACCGGCGATTCCGAGTCCGGCGGCGCCAGCACCATGGACGGCGACCACTACTTTGGCCACGTCTTTCTGGACAAGGGCAGCGAAAACCTCGACAATCCCGACCACGCCCTGCAGGTAGGGGACGAGGGGGTCCTCATGAGAATTTCCGACGCCCGGCAGATCATGGACGACGGCCGCCTGACGCTCCTGGTCCAGGCCCTCGAAAAATTCCGGATCACGAGGGTGGTCCGGTCGCACTCCCCCTACGCCGTCGCGGACGTCGAGCTCGTCGTCGACGAGGAGCAGGTTGCCTCGGCCGCCGGATCGGAAGCCTCTCCCGGGCACGAGGCGGCGGCCCGGGCCCTGGCGTGGCACCCCTTTGAGGTCCGCAGGGTCGCCATGGACGAGTGCGAGCTCGCCAGGGACGCCTCGGGAAGGATGGGGCTCTCCGTCTCGCCCCTTTCCAACTACGACGCCGGGCAAGCCGGCGGTTGCGCCGGGAGCAACAACCCCCCAGGAGAGGACGCGGACCTCGTGGCGATCGCGGAGCGAGACGCCTGGCTCAAGCTGGACGAGCTCCTCCGCCTCCTGGGCGTTGCCGCGCGGGGGGAGGTCGGCCTCCCCGTCCCGACCCAGATCCTGGGGCTCCTCCCCAAGACCAGTTGCGCGCTCGCGCCCGTGGCGGAGCGGGAGGCCGGCAAGAGCGAGACCAACCCGATCGCGATCGCCCTGGAGCCAAGGCCCTGGCCCGGGGGCTTTTCCCTGGTGGGTACCGCCGACCGGATGGAGGCGGCGGAGACCGCCACCGTTGGGACGCACTCGGAGAGCCCCTTTGTCCGCATCGACGCCGCCAGTTACCGCTCGTACCCGCCCCTCCGTCGCGCCCAGCGATTCTCCTACGCCGTCTGGACCCTCATCGACTCGGTCGACCTGGACAGCGCCGGCGGCGACGGCGGCGAGGACCCCTACGGCCGCGCGCGCATCCTGGAGATCGGCAGCACGAGGGAGCGGCTGGCCCTGGCGACCGAGAAGATGGACCGGATCTGTGCGCTCCTGCAACGGATCATCCGCATGCACGACGGGCGCGGAAGCGGCGTGCGGGGCTAGGCACTGTTTTGTTGGACCACCGCCCCCGACGATGTGCGGGTGGTCGCTCGACCGGCCGCCTTGTTTCGAATCAAACCCACGATGCGTGCTTTCGGCACAAAATTTTTTTGCCATTCGAACAACCGCTGCGCTACGGCACGGCATGGATGGACGATGCCCAACTCCACAATACACATATATACGTACCCATACGATAAACCATTGCGACCACACAATACACGCAATTCCACATGCACACGAAGTGTCATCCCGCCACACCGGCATCTGCTGCAATTCAACAGAAATGCTACCTTTTACATTTTTTGGGCTCTTATGGGGCCCCGCTGTTCGGTGTGGAAGGATAAAAACGCGTCAACTTAAGATAAGGTCGCTCTGCTTTTTGAATTCCTTTAATGAAAAGTAAAATGGTCTCTTGCTGGTACTGCGTTTTTTTAAATAGTTTAAAAAGAGTCCATTATTCGTCAAGAAGATAGTTTGCAATTTGCTTCATATCAAGCCAGTAGCAAAGCCAATAATGAAATTCGATGTCAATTGGATCTGTTGCTTTGGTGGGTTTTGTTTGAATCGCTTCAAAACAATCCAAACAATTTCTTCTTTTCGGGTGCCGGTGGCTCTTCCTCCTCCTCGGCTCCGGGGTACTTGAGCTTGACAAAGGACTTCTTCTTGACGTCCTTGAGCTCGGTGAAGCCTCTTTTTTGTCGCTCGAGGGCCTTCTTTCTTCGGATTTCTTCCTTCTTGGCGTCGGCCGCCTTGATCTTGGCGTAGGGAGATTCTTCGCCCCCGGCGTAACCGGATTCCATGCTCTTGACCACCTTGTCCCAGATTCCGTTCACGGCCGTTGTCGTGCTCTCCGGTGCGCTTCGGATGCTCTGCGCCGGCTGCTGCACGAATCCCGATACCAGGGCCGAGGCAGCGATGGTCAAAACCAGCAGGGCAAGGAAAGAATTGTTCTTCATCATCATCATTATCATCATCATGGTTGTGCTTGTGTCAAGTTGATCCTCTGCGGTCGTTTCAGCCGATTGCATTCCATCGCAGAGCCGATTGCGCATTCGCATACTGTAGTTCTGGCGGCTGACACAAAACCTCACCGTGTTGTACCGTAGTTTGTTCTTTGTGTCGGCCATGTTGACACCAGGTGTTTTGACTGACGCATTCTTTTTGGTTTTGAGACGTGCACTGCGCGCTCGATTGAGATTGCAGCGATCTTTTTGGTTTTTAAACCAACGTACTGTACGTAGTACTAGTACAAATGAATCTCCACCGTCATTGATCAAAATCGATTGATAGAAGATCACGAACGATCCTCCAAACTCGATCCCAACCTTCTGAACTGCTACTGTATTGAGGGGTAGGACAAGATCGACATTTTTGGTATGGTCGTGCAGAAGCATTTGTCGAAGTAATCGATCTACCGCGCTCTTCTTCTGTTGTTTCCACTAAAATCGGGTTCTATTCCAAAGTCGTGACCATGCCGTCGACTCGAAAGCCTGTCATTACCAGCGTGCTCCTCGGCATCGTTGTCGCCTTCTGTGCGATGCCCCGGGCGTCTCTGGGGTTCTCCACGGGCCATCTACAGAACACCTTCGAGAAGAACCAGGGCAGCAAGGGAGAACAAGCCGGACCCCGCGGGGCCGAAACCAACGGTGGCAGCCGGCGGGGCTTTCTCGAGGCGGCATCCGCGTCCACCGCCTCCGCGTGGTTGCTTCCCCTAGCGGTGGGAGGAACCGCGGCCGCTCCCCCCGCGAGGGCCTTCGACAACCGGCTCGACGACCGGTACGCCAGCGCCATCCCACAGACGGGGACCCAGCCCCCCGATCTCGGCCACTCGCAGAGATCGAACTATTTCGGTCTCAAGTCCTGCGGCAACTCGCCCAACTGCTGGAATTCTTCCGCCCCCAAGGCCAACATCCCGGCCCGGTGGCTCCCCGCCTGGGAAGCCCCGAAGGGCTCTTCCATTGCGGACGTCAAAAAGGTGGTCGACACCTACGAGGTCGGCCAGAACAACGTCGACGGCGGAGGATTCAGGGTGATGGAATACACCAACAGCAGCAGCGAACAATACCTCTACGTTCAGTTTCAGAGCTACAAGGCGGGATACATCGACGATTTCGAGTGCTGGTTCAATCCGGAGTCCCAGAAATTCGATGTCAGGAGTTCCAGCCGGGTGGGGTATTCCGATCTGGGGGTCAACGCCATCCGGTTGGAATACATTGCCAATCGATTGGAAACCGAATACGGATGGACCTTCGAGAGGCGAAAGAACGGAAAGTTGGTTTAGTGAACACTATGGAGGATATCTTTCTAGCTTGGACACTATTATGACGCAAGCAGAATGTTCGCAAACCTTGGGTTTTTAGTCTTTTATCGTATTTTCAGAGAATAGAGGATGCCAGATATCACCATGGCAAATTGGAATGTGGATCAAACATTGTTCTGGTGTCGATAGAACTTTTAATTCTTCGCCGATGTCGGTAGTCTGCAAAGTCTTGAATCGTAACTTCTCACAAATGCCGATAGCTGTTGAAAAATCTAAGCGAAAGAGTCTCATGCCGTAGCCTACGATGCACACGCCACAATACAACCATTGTTTTTAAACATTTATAGCCGCATTTCTTTTGTGATCGCACTTTGCCAACCCATTTCCATCATTTGGCTCCATTCTATATAACGCTTACGAACACAGTTGGCATCAGAGTCCCATGGCGTTATTCTAAGTGAAGTTTTGCAAGCGTTGTTCTTGTCAACACTTTTGCAGTCATAATTTGTTGGTTGTATTATGTAGTCTCTTATTCTTCGACAAAATGCTGCTTGAGGTACCGCTTGAAGGTCTCGTACGTCGTCCACGAAATGGCCACCGCCGGTGTGTGGCTGAGTATTCGCGGCGTGACGCCCCGGAAAAACCCGGCGTATCCTTCCTGCTGGTAGATCCGCAGGGCGGCCTGCCTCCAGTCCGCCACGATTGGCTTGAAGCGAGGCGCTTTTGGGTTCGTGCTGCCCGCGGAAGGGCCGGAGCCCCCGCTGCCGTTGTTGAGGGGGCAGTGCTCGGGGGACGACGCGGAATGGTGGTTGTTTTGGAGGAGGCACTTTGGCGCCAGCTGTTGGGTTTGCAGGTACGTTTTGATGCGATCCAGTGGCGTCGTGGTGGCCGCGGCTACCAATCCAGCCAGGGAGGAGGCCCCGAGCGTTACCCCCATGGTCAGCTCGCTGTGATCGATGTGGTAGTTTTCGTCGCTGTTGCCGTCACTGTCACCGCCGTCGTTCGCAACTTTTATCCGGGTCCATTGATCCTTGAGGAATTCGTTCGTCCCGACCATGATCATCCCGTATGGAATGTTCGTGGCCAGCGTCACGGGGAAGCTCCGAAGGAGCGACACGGCCCCCTCGGTGCGGATCATCTGCGTCAGCGCGTCCGTAAGACCGTTGTAGTGCCCCAGCTGTAGCCGCTGCTTGACCGTGTCCAGTGGCCCAAGGACCAGGTCGTGGCCAAAGACGGCGGCTCCCCCGGCCAGGGCGCTCCCGTAGGCCGTCACGTTGCCATCCTTGTCCAGGGTGGAGGCCTTAACGATCTCGTATGTGCTGAAATACAGGGCGTGCGCCGGGATGCACCCCACCAGGATGGTCTGGACGCCCCGCCACAGCCGGGTGACGTCCCTGGGGGCAAAGGCAGGAACCCCGGGAGGAGAAGCCGTCGTCGTTGCCGTCGCTTCCAGTGCCGCGGCCGCCGAACCGGTCTGCGAGACAGCGGCCCGCTGCGAGACGAGCTGTCGTATCGCCTGCAGGATGGACAGGTTGTACGTTCCCGGTGACCCGGAACCCCCCAGGTGGTGCATCCCGCCCGTTCTCGGAGAAGCGGTCAGGTTTGCCGCCTTTGTCTTGCAGACGGCCTGGGCAATGGAGGATTTGGAGGAACTCGTCGCGGAGGCCGCCGCCTGCTGCAGGACCGATCCGGGGGGGAGGTGTCGTGCCGAAGGGGTTCCCGCGTTGCCCGGGGCGTGCTTGTGGGCCGCTACGGTTGCCGCCTGCGTCGACGCGTTGTGGGTAGCCGGGTTGAAGTGGCAGGCGGCGCAGACCTGTATGTGGGTCCGCACGGTGTCCAATGGATAGACCAGGATGTGCTCGGCGACCCCCGCCATGGATCCGGCAACGCAGTGGACCCAAAAGGGCGAGGTTCCGTCCCATTCTTCCCAGTCATCGTCAAAGTCGACCGTCCCAGCGGATTGATCCATCGTGTCGTGTCGTGTCGTGCCTTGCCTTTTCGATCCTGGTGTACCTTGCGGTAGGTTTGTTTCTATCTTTCGGAGTGGCGTTTTAACGTTGAAACGGGAACCTATCTCTCTTTCTCTGCTTCCAAAAAATTCTCGATAGAGCCTTTGTCGTAGCGGACGTGATGCAAAAACAGAGAAGACGGGATTCTAAAATCGACTTGTTGCGTAACTATTTCAAAATTCAGTTCACGGCTGACAGCCTCTTGCGTATGTCACTAATAGGCAAATTGCTAAGTGATGGTGGCGATTGCGGTGTACTTGTGGTTGTTTGGTGTCCCTTCGTCGTCTCAAAGATCCTTTGCAACTCTGCCAGGATCCATGGGGTGTGTCGTGCGAGCAGAGATTATTCCAGATGTTGAGATGTGAGAAGGGGGGGACTCGAGTTCGGTTCTTGTTTCCTTTCCCCTCTCGTTGTTTTACGATGTGCTGCAGCGGAATGAAACTTCTTTCCGTTTTGGCGCTCCGGAGGTCAGCGCCGTAGTACTAAACTACAGTAACTATCGACAGACAGACGAAAGATGACCCGGTCTCGATTCGTTCATTAAATTTTTTCTACCGGTAGGTTCCGTTCCAGTGATCGATCGACGGGTGGTCGGTGGTGAAACATCATCGTTCGTGCATTGGTGCAATTGCCTTCGAGTTCCAATGATGCGCGATTTCAATTCGCGCATTACAAACAGATGTTCTTCCAAACCCAAAACTATTTTCCCGCTGATATTCCTTGCCTGCCGTCCCCCTGGCTCGCGACGGCCAGACCGAGACGGAGAAAGAAGAACGTACGGCTGGCGAACAGACAAGATATGCACTCCCCGCCTTGGTTCTTCTCCTTCTTTTCTCGTTCTGTTCCGTTACCCGTTACCCTACCACTTCTGGTGCTGAACGGTACGAGTGCGTAGTCTTACTGGTATGTTGATCAGAGGATCATTTGCGAAAGGACGATGTGATGTTCGTTGGTTCTCAGTTGCTTCAACATTACTTTTGATCGATGATTCGTTGACAACGGCATCTGGTTGACATGCCGAAAAACGGAACTACGAGTACGGGTACTCGTACCCTCTTGTTCTAGAAAATGTACGAGTACTTTACTACCGTAGCTTCTCGGAATTAATAAAGTGTGCAATCATCGGATCAGATCCGGTCCTATCCTATTCAATCCATCCCTATCTATACATCGCCCGATAATTAAAGACAGTGGAGCTACATCTTTGTCGGAACGATAATATTGAACGACTCTTCAACGTAAGAAAAACGGTGGCGAAAGGAATCGGAACCACCAACAAATTATTCGACAAAGCATTGCAATATTCTAATTGCAAACATAATTGAGGAAAGCAGCAGTTCACAAAATATGAGTCCTTCAAACGGCGACTCCCCATCCCGCCACCCCTTACGCCGCACCCAGGGTCTTGCGAGGATACGGACAGTCCTGCTCCTCCGCAAGCGAATCCGGACGAAAGCGACGACAAGACCGATGGCGACAGTGGTCTGGCTTGCCACTACCACAACGCTGGTAATCCTAGTCTGTTGCTGCCTCGAAATAACGCTGGCGTTTGTAGTAGTGTCCCCGTCTGCCGCTTCCACAGCGAGGTCGACAACGACAATAGCAACCACACCCGGGATAGTTTGTTCTACAACCACGCCACCATCCATGTTGTTGAGCTCTTCGCGGCATCTTTACCAAGACGGTACAAGAAAGAAGTGGCAGGCGTCTTTCACTTTGGAGGCTGTTGCTGGAGGAGGGAGTGGGGAACATCAAAACAGCAACAAAGGAAAGAATAATCCAAAAGCAGAAAGGAACAACAATAATAATGCCAACAAAAACAACAACAATCGATCCAACAGCAGAAAAAAGAACAGTAGCAATAACAAGGATAGTGGCAGTCCGAAGCAGAACAAAAAAGGCGGCAAAAAGAGCAACTTCAAGAGAACCAAAAAAGCAGCGGTAGTAGACTCTTCCAAACAAAAGAAACGAGAAATCATGGACCAGATTAAAGCAAAGATAAAGGAAGAGGGGGAGGAAAAGAAGAAAAAGCAGCAGCAKCAACAAAATAGCAAGCAAAAACCGAAATCAAAACAGCGACCCAAAAATACGCAGCGACAATCACAAAAAAAGAACCAGGGTCCTACCAAAAAGATGACGCCAACCGCAAACATAGAGCAAAAACTAAACGACGACGACTTTGAACCCATCGACGACGCTTCGACGTCCTCTGCCACTGCAAACAAGGGAAAGAGACTCTTTATGAATCCCTTCGAGGCCGGAAAGTCTTTTCGAGAAACCCTCAGCAGCCTGTCAACGCTGGGCCGTGGTCTTCCCAAGGAAACCAAGCAGAAATACTTTCTGGACGATCGACTGCTGGACGGGGACGAAAACGTCTCGGACTTTCCGCTTTCCTCGACTCCATCCTCGTCGTCGCCCATCTTTGCCAATCGGCTGCTCCGCGACTTTGCAGCGGCCGAGGCCCTCGAGCCAAGCACGTACGTTCCGGAGGTCCTGGTGGTTGGGGCGACGGGGGAAATCGGGCGGCTGGTGGTGAGGCGCCTCCTGCTGGAGGGCCGGGGTCGTTTCCGTGTCCGGGTCCTGGTAAGGGACCTGTACTCGCAGACCCTCAACCTGCTGGGGACCGGTGTTTCCTACTGCCAGGGCGATTTGTCCAACGTGGAATCCCTGGAGTACGCACTGACGGACGTGGACAAGATTGTCTGCGTGGCGGGGGCACCCAAGCCGGATGAGTCGGACTTTCAGCGAAAGTTCCGTTGGTACCTGGAGGAGCAGGGAATCGACTACGACGACGACAACGGTGGCGATAGTGATAGCGACGGCAACAAGGGCAGGGACGACCAGCAGATGAACGACCGGGAATGGGAACAACTGGCAAGCGTCCTCGAGGTTAGATCCGAGCTGGCGGAACAGGTCGATTGCATCGGAATGAAAAACCTTGTATCGGCCTATCAAAACGTCCGGCACACGGATTATGGGACCTCGCAGGCTGCCAAGCGGAGCCTCTTTAAGTTCTCGGAAAAATCGGGCGACTTTGATTTGTTTGCCCTGGACGACGGCGAATCGACTCCCTCTGATGGTGGCAAAGACGAAGGTTCGAACTATTACCAACAAGACTACGACGACGAAGAAGAAGAAGAAAGAAACGACGACGACGACGACGACGACGACGACAAGTACGCCGACTACTATGACGAATACAATGAATACGACGAGGACTACTATGACGAAAATTATGGCGTTGCGCTAGAATCACGAAACGCTAAAGATGCCAACGTTCTGAAATCGGAGGTAAAGTGGCTACGCAACAAGTTCCACAACGGCGTCTTTGTTGGCAAAGTCCCCCGGGCGGACATCTCGTCCGGCAAGGGGGGAGAGGCGGCGATCATCAGCAGCCGGCTCCGGGCCCGTGAGGACCCCGATCGGGGCATCGACATGAGCAACTTTGCAGGCCTGATCCTCCGGGTCGTCTCGGATGGAAACAGGTACGAGGCTTTTGTGCGGACCGGTCTGTACGAGAGCGACGGCATCGAGTACGTGTACGAGTTCGGCACCGACAGCAAGATGCCCACGACGGAAAACAAATCGAAGAGTCGATTCAAGACGGTGCGGCTGGCCTTTGAAAACTTCAAACCCGTACAGCAGCGACGGAAATCGAGCAGCAGTGAAGGCGATAGTGATGAGGAGGAAGATGACTGGACCGTCCAGCCATTCGTCGGAAACGATGTCCAGTATATTGGATTTCGGTTTCGTTCCTCCAGCAACATGCATGAAGAGGACGAAACAAGCAACCGAATGAGGAATAGCTTAGATCGGCTGGGAGGCAAGAACAACAATTCCCAGAGATTTTCTATGGCGCTCGCGTACATCAAGGTGTACCGGTCACAGCCGGAACCAGAATTCATATACCTCAGCGATGCCCGCATCCCGCCCGTCGTGTCCGACGGTATGGTACACCATGATCGGAAAATGCTTCTGACCAGTCACAATGAGATGTCCGACGAACGAAATTCGAACGAGCCGCTATCGTCCTCAAGCGAGAAGGACGCAACCAAAGCGTCAGTGAACACACTCTTTGACGAAAAGGACCTCCAGCGAAGATCCAAGCTGGAGCGTTCCCCGGAAGAAACCTACTTCAAGTACCGAGGCGAAGAAATACTCGTCAAATCGGGCCTGTCCTACACCATCGTACGGGTGGCGGGCTTCAACGAGCTTTCCACCTCGGAGGCTAGCACGATCGATCTCATTGGTACCAGCGCACGCAGCGACAGCAAGGAAAACACCGAGATTGTTCCAGTTTCCCGGGCCGAGGTGGCACAGGTTTGCGTGAGCGCGCTCCTGGATCCGTCTGCCCTAAACAAGATCGTCTACATGACCAAGAAGAAGGTAGTCGGCAAAAACGTTCTCGACGAGGAAGACATATCGGCCAAGTTTGAGGGGATTCCGAGTGACATAGTTCTGTGAATAAATTGGGCTAGTGTTTTATCTTACCGAAGGACAGTAACCAAGTACGTAATCACTTCTACAAACTAACATTTATCGGTTATTTTCGGGATAACAAGACTAGGTATTTTTATGATAGTAATTGCTTTTCCATATTTATACCTGACGCAATTTCTCTAAATAATGGTGTGCATTTCTCATGACGATATCATCTGATATTGTATGGTTTCGGTTCTTGGTAGAGATGCAATGCTGCCAAGATTCCTCCATATGATTTTTCTCCACCATTATTGTGTCATAGGTTGCATTAAGTTTTGGTGCACACGGTTCGATCAAAGACACGAAGTATCAGGGGGGAGAGACGAGGGTGTCAATTGTAGGATATGGCTAGAGGTTGTCATGAATTTTCAGGAATCTCCAAATTCTTCATGGAATCTAGTCTGTCACTGCTATCTTTACTTTTCGGGGCCTCGATTTTTTTGTCTACATACAGGCAGGTGGGTACGAGTAGCATATTATGGTCCAAGTCAGATTTTAGGGAGTCGAGGTTCAATACGTACCGTACGAGTAAAACACGTTCGTGTACAGTACTGTAATGGGTCTACAAATTTCTTCTTTGGGGGATGCCAAATTAGGTACGTAGGTCCGACTGGATTATCACCGGGTAGTAGATTTTCTACGTTCATGCAACGGCGGAGCGGACTTTTCAATCTCCAACAGTAAACTTCTTAGGGGGATCAGCATGAAACTGCAGCACCCTTCCGGCATTATTCGGGGCAGTGCATCCGTGTTTTGATTTGGCACAAACTTGACGATAAAAAATCTCGAAAAAGTTTTGCGTACGGTAGGAGGCAGCATCTATTAGGATATATCAAACGTCGCTCATATCTGTTGTGCTATCAACGCATAGAACGGCATCAAAGCATAGACGTGAAATAGAAAAATAATGGTTGGCTTTGGAGAGCATCTGAAAGCAAATATTGCGTCCGAATTCGGAGCCGATGCGTACCTGAATTACAAGGAACTCGATGAACTTATTCAACAGCTCTCGGCTACGGCCCCCAGCGGGTAAGTGGTTCTGTTGTATTTCGTTCGATTTTTCGTGTCGTTAGGATGACATGTGCTGAGCCATGTGCTTGTGCATATCATATGCTTCGTCTTGTCGCTAATTATGAATCATGATCCAACCAGATGCTTTATTCAAAAGATCATCACTCCAATCCATTCAATTCGAGATAAACTCCTATTTCGAGACCGTACTGTATCCAAAAAGCAACATTCGATTCTAATTTTTCTTCATTGTTTATTTCCATGAATGCGAAACAACAATCCATAAATAGTCCGGATTTGCAAAACCGTCAAGTTTCCATGACGGTCCCCCCACAAACAGATGCACGCGGATTGGCAGTGCACAGCAATGGCGTCACCGAAGAAGAATTTCTTCGGAGAATGGACGAGGAACTGGCTAAGGTTGAAAAGTTTACGCTGAAACAGGTCGATTCCCTACGAAAAAAGATCGAGGCGGTCGAAAATAGCAACACGCCAGGCATGAACGCGGCCGACGAGATCGCCAATTATTTCTTACAGCTCGAAAAGTACGTCAACATTAATTTTATGGGGTTTCACAAGATCCTCAAGAAACACGACAAGAATCTCCCCAATGTACCATGCAAGGCCTTTTACGTCTCGCGAATGCACGCCCAGGCATGGGTGCGGGGGGATTACTCGGATCTGGTGGTCCGTCTCTCCCACATTTATGCGAGCCTCCGTGACGATCACGTGGTCGACGAAAATAATGACCAGCAATCCTTCTTGCGACAGACCACCAAATATTGGGTCAAGACAGAAGATGTTTCCCGCGTGAAATACTACATTCTTCGCCACCTGCCCGTTTTTTTGCAGAAGACATCAACCGGTGAGTCCGACTCGCAGTTCACCAACTCGGTCTACTTGGACAACGATCAGCTCGAATTATACCACGGCCGTCTCGAAAAGTCACCGGGTGCAATTGCTCTACGATTGCGGTGGTATGGAAACGGGAACCCCAAGCTGGTCTTTGTGGAACGAAAGACCCACAATGACAAATGGACCGGAGAAGTATCAGTGAAGGAGCGATTTACCGTAGACGAATCGGAGGTGCACCAAGTGATGACCAACACCTATCCGATCGAAGAAAAAAGGAAAGAGATGCTGGCGAAGGGCAAATCTGAAAAAGAGTGCGACGAGTGGGAAACCCTTGTGCGAGAAATCACCCAGGTGTTTGTCAGTAAGCAACTGGTCCCGACCTGTCGAACCCAGTGCATGCGAACTGCCTTCCAGATCCCATTCGATGCCACAGTTCGAATTTCCCTGGACACTAACCTGTGCATGATTTCCGAGCGCGGCTACGAGCTGAACGGAATGAAGACATGGCACCGCAACCCTGACTGGATCCTACAGCCCAACGAGATTACACGCTTCCCGCACGCCGTGCTCGAAATCAAGCTGGAACTCAAGGGCGGAAATCTGACGCCCCCGAAATGGGTTCGTGATTTGCAGAACTCTGGTTTGATTTATGAATGCCATAAATATTCAAAGTATTGCCACGGAACGGCAGTCTTGCTTCCGGAGGACGTGCGAGCCGTCCCATACTGGGTCGACGATGTTACCCTTCGGGAATCGATTATTGCCAGCGGCGGCGGCAGAATCCTCATGGAACCGGGAGAAGAAGCGGCTCCGGGCGCAAACGCCATATACGATCACTTGCTGCCCTTTGGCGACCAAGAAAAGGACCGAAGCCAGACCGCCGTTGGCCGGACCCACGCCAGTACTGCCGCCTCGAAGGGGATCACAGGAGAAAACTACACAAAGAGCAACATACAAACCGGCTTTGACACCAACTATAGCGAGGAAGACCCATTTCTGGACGATGACGACGACGATGACGGTGCTTGTGGGTGGTGCTTTCCCTTTTGCAGTAGGTACAACGAGTACGCTGAGCAAGTGGTGGCACCTACCTCCATTCAGAAGGTCGAACCAAAATTATTCTTTGCCAACGAACGTACCTTTTTGCACTGGCTCCATTATGCTGTTGTGTTGAGCAGCATCGGCTCGGCTGTTATAAGCTTGTCGGACGACTCGGTCGACGACTGGCGCCAGTCATATGCCTTGGCATTGTTGCCCATTTCCCTGGCCTTCATTATTTATGCCCTCCACGTTTTCTTGTGGCGCCAAGACCAGATCAAACAACGAATCCCGGCCCGATGGGACGATCCAATGGGTCCTATCTTGTTGGGATCCACCGTGGTATTGGTATTGGTTATTCAGTTTTTCAGCCATCTCTACGAAATTGCGAAGGCAGGCATTGAAGAGGGGCAAATTTAGAACATTGGAGAAAGACAAATTGAATCCAAGTGAACTGGCACACAAAAGTGTCAACATATCTATTCTTGAGCAATGTCACTGTCAGGAATGTACATAAAGCTACAATTACAATATCATATTATTTTCTTGGTGCATTTCCGAGTAGCAATAGAGATAGATTGTTGAATTTGTACTTCCAATATGGGTGAAAATGAGTGATTGGTGATAGTTTTAAAGTTGTAGAAACMTAATACTTACAAGTGTCACACTATTAGGTTGGATCAAAATAAGAAGATATTAGCAAATAGAATGTGTCGATTGTTGCTGTTGTCATCACGATGCATGTAATGAACGAATTACAGACGTCCTACTGTTTCTTTACTTGTACAACTATTGACCTCAAGTGTCCTTGCACCGGTAGGTAGAAATTACATTCTCATTTTCACATCATCAACAAAGTCGTTCATGATCCATCAACCTGTACCGGCCGGTACGCTACTCGTAGGCATGGACATCTGCTTGAATGAAGAGGGCTGTAATAACATCGCCGATTTTCGCTCCTAAAAATTATACGCGGTAGTAATCATACCTGTAGGTCGTACTAGTATGCATTTTTCTTAATTGACAGCTTATTGATAATTTCATGAACGCTTTTTCAAGTCTGCGAAGAGAACAATTTACTGCATACGAATACTGGTAGTACAAGAACCTCTTGCTCCTACGGAACGATTCATAGACGAAACCGTGCTGTGCTGGCTCACAAATAGAAGCAGTAGTCTTATCTACAATCTACGATCAAGAGCTTTGTTGTCCTATCTTCCGAAAGATTTTTTTCGCAACGAGGTCCAAAGATTATCTTTGCTTGACACCTGTCTATTTGAGCACTATTCTCAAAATCGAATTTCATCGTTTCCAAAATGGCGGCCATTCTTTGTACAACCATCGGCGATCTTATTTCGAAATGCTGCAGCGCGATGACGGTTCCCTGTGAAGCCTGCGGCAAGGGCTGCAACGAGCTCGGCAAGCTCTGCGGCAAGGGCTGCAGCGAATTCGGCAATCTCATGTGCACTCCCTTCATGCCCTACATCGCGGTGACTTTTATGCTAAACACCCCTTCGGTGGTTTACGCCATCAAGAGCGCTCAGAGCTACGGGTGCTCCTATTCGTTGTTTCGGTGGCTAGTGGTGAATGCGGCCTTTGCCGTATCCCACATGGTCGCGGCGTTGTACATCGTGAAGCTCATCCAGGAACCGACGGCGGCGGAGACTGCACCGGAAACGGCGACCATCAATGCCACGACCGGTCTGAGGGCTGCCGAGGAAGGACAATCGGCGCAAGGAACCAACAACAATTTCTATGTTCTCAACAGCGACGAAGGAAATGTCCCGGGTGGTGCCAATTCGTTCAAGCGCATCAAGTACGTCCTTTGCTACGACAAGGGAATGGCCGTATACATTGTAATTTTTCTGACCTGGGTCGTGTGGATGGGGATTGGCGTGAGCCGACGGTTGTTTTCAGGTGACGCGAACGACGACTACGAATGCGACGAAATGCTGCACTTTATGAATCTCGCCATCGCGGTCGGCTACGTCTGGATGGGCCTGGTCGGAACGGCATTCTGTTGCTCTCTGTGCTGCCTCCGATAGACTGCCGATGCATGAAACGAGAGAATGAGCGAAAGTTAGAATTGAATCATTCGGCAGCATCCATGGGAGTAATTTTGTACAAATTTATGTTTAGGTCATTAAAAATTTTCTGTAACAGTATATGAATTCAGTGTGACAAATACGCCTTTTTCGGATTACTTCGCGTGACTTTCCACAACGGCCTTTTGCTTCTTTTTGTAGGCCTCCACTGTAGGAGACTGGAGAGAAAAGAAGAAGGAAGGAATGAGTTCCGCCTTTCCGTTCATGAGGGCGTTCCGCATGGTATCCAATAGCATCAGGGCCGTGGCAGGATTCTCGGCCATGATGGTGTTGTGGACAAGACCTTGGCGGACCAGACAATCGATGTCGGCCCTGTGTGGGTGGGAGTCCATCGGATCCTGGAAGAACATGACTCCGCCGATTTTTCCAGAGACCATGAGCGCGACCAATTCGGCGTCACCTCCGAGCGGCCCCGAGGCGCAGGAGGGTCCGAACATTACGGTTCCCGGTTCTTCGTCCTTGAAGACTTCCGTGAGCATGGTCATGGTGCTGTTGGTTCCGGTGAGACGGAATTTCTTGAGAATGTTCTTGTTTGCAGTTACGAATTCCCGCATGGTCTTTTTCATCCCATTGTGTGAGACAAGGGCAAGACAACGCATTTGCGAGGGAGGGTATTGTGATTCAAAGTCCGGATCGGACTCCTCTTCGTCGTCCGAATCGGAGTCGGAGTCGTCGAAAAGTGCGTCAAAATCTAATGCCCGGCTGTTGTTATGGGAAATAGTGAGATCCAAGTTGGCATCTTGGACACAGAGCATGCTTTTGAACGGATAGAGCTTGTGCGATATATCGTGGAGGATCAACATGTTGTCGTGGTGGGCCTTCAGAACAACCCTATCGACGAGTCTTGAAAGATTGAACCCACTGCCCACAGTGGCATCAGTACGAGTGGTGAGCCCGATGCTGTGTTCGGTACGACTGGTGAGCCCGATGCTTATCTCAGAGAACTCCTTGCTGTCACACATTTCATCTTCTTCCATCAACATTGCGAGCTCGTGAATGCAAACCTTTGTTCGGTCAAGTATAGAATCAAATGGGTGTTAGAGCGATTCTTCAATAATGACCACGACGTATTGAAATCGACCATTTCTTACCGAAATCGCCGACGACCTCCTTTTTTCCTTCGTTTCTTTGCCACTTTTCTTTCTCCCTCTTGAGTGTCTCCTCAGATATTTTTCGAGGACGCGAAATTCGGACAAATCGATCGTCCCGCTGTGATCGGTGTCAAATTCGTCGAGCAACATCTCGACGTGGTTCATTTCGACCTTGTCGTCTCCCGTGATCTCTTGGATGGCATTGCTGAGTTGGACGCGGTTGAGAGAGCCTATGTCCGGAGAGGGAATGCAATGATGCGGTCAATGAATCACCTGGTACGCAATGCAAAGCAGGCACACATTCCTCGACACGCAAATCGACGAAACAAAACTCACCCGTCTTGTCCTCGTCGTACTTCTCAAAACAGATTCTCGACGTAGCCTGCTCTCCTACGGTCGTCATTCGATTTCTTCTCGCATTTTGTGCCTCGAGGCTGATGCTTGCTGTTTTGTTTACATCCATCTTGCAATATTGGTTGGCCTGATACAGTCGGAGTTAGGGTAAAGTTATGAAGATCTCAGAATAATGAAATTATCATCCAGATGAGCCAAAAAAAAACTCGTAGTGTACTACGTCACGAGGCGAGAGAACGAAGAGATGCCAAATTTTGTATTACAGTACCGTAGCTTTTTTCGGTGTAGAAGATACCGTACGGCTCTAAAAAATACATCTGCTGAACAGGTCTTCGTCTTTAAGAAAGCAGAACCGTACTCTCGCGTACCTTATTTACTGTAGGAGTTCCTTTCTTCTCTACGGAATATTGACTGCATACCGGCAGTAGAACCTTAATAATTAAAAAATACATCTGCTGAACAGGTCTTCGTCTTTAAGAAAGCAGAACCGTACTCTCGCGTACCTTATTTACTGTAGGAGTTCCTTTCTTCTCTACGGAATATTGACTGCATACCGGCAGTAGAACCTTAATAATTAAAAAATACATCTGCTGAACAGGTCTTCGTCTTTAAGAAAGCAGAACCGTACTCTCGCGTACCTTATTTACTGTAGGAGTTCCTTTCTTCTCTACGGAATATTGACTGCATACCGGCAGTAGAACCTTAATAATTATTCCGAGGCCCTGACAAATAAAACGTAGATTTACGTACGGCACGTGGAAGGAAATGATTAGATCCTGTCCCTGCATGCAAGGAGAGAAGAGAAGGCTCAATGAGCCAACCAGAAAGAATCCACCAACCTTCCTCGATAGGTACCACCAAGCTGGACATCGTTCGCTCAAAAGAACATCTGTTGTTGTTGTGAACCTGAGGTTTTTCGCTCTGCCTGTGACTAATATTTATCAATAACGTAAAACGTTACATATCTAGTTTCATAATAGAGGCGGGCAGCACTACTAGAGTTTCTGGCACGTGTCTTCCTCGTCTAATTCCAATGCAGGGCGAGACGATGGTTCTTCTCAGATGTGGAGGAAACGTGCCACCAGAATCGTTAATGTTAGCAACGAACGGTAGTACTTTCAGGCATTCTTTCAGGGTCATAATTTAGACAACTGCGGGACGTTAGTACCGTACCGTATGATGTTATTCACTAGCTACTCGTGATTTGTTTCATGACCCATGTCTGGTTGTCTGTTTCCTGAAAATCTACCTGGATTTCATCCCTAAAAATAAACAAGAGAATGAACAGAGGACATGGAACTCTTGAATCAATCAAAAATCATTCTCTTCTCGTTTCAAGGTACCGTGGGTAGGTACGGTACCAGCACTACGTACAGTACTACGTACAAGTTTTTATCATTCGTGGGTTCTGTTCCACTTCCAGTGTCAAAAACAACCATCAGAAGGGCATTCACAAAAAAGAATACAACACGGTACGAACTTCTAACATTAGGATTCTCGGTGCATTGACAACGACAGACCAACGCTACGAACAGTTACAAATCCATCTAATCGACAAGGCGCATCGTATTGATTGCAAGGCAGGAATGTCACACTCCTGATCTGTATCCAACCAGAATTCTAGCGACTCGTGCGATACCGTTGCCGCAGCAATCCGTGGAATTTGTTCTGCCCGATCGAAGGCCACAAAGACGCTGTGGCGGTGTCGATCTCGGTGACAATGTCGACTTCCTTGTTGTGGGCCGCGAGAACGGTGTCGCGGGCGAGTCTCCGCCAGCGTAACCAGCTCTGGCCCTTGGCGGCATCTGCGGCTCACCCCCGGTTCCGAGAAGCATTCCCCCCCGCCCGGTCCTTTTCCGCGGCGGAAGGCGCCTCCTCCCCGCCCGGGGACGCACCGCCCTTCCGGAAGGTCCTGATCGCCAACCGCGGGGAGATCGCGATCCGGGTGGCCCGGACCTGCCGTCGGCTGGGGATCCCCACGGTGGCCGTCTACGCCAGCAACGACACGGACTCGAGCCACGTCTCGGAGTGCGACGAGGCCGTCTGCCTGGGAACAGGGGGCGTCTCGAGCTACCTGGACACCGACAGGATCGCGGAGGCGATTCGTTCCACCGAGGCGGACGCCGTCCATCCMGGGTACGGTTTTCTGAGCGAGAACGCGGGCTTTGCGGAAGCCGTGGCGTCCCTCGGGAGCAAAGGCGAGACAGTGGCCTGGCTGGGCCCTCCCCCGCAGGCCATCCGGGACATGGGCTGCAAGCTCCGGAGCAAGGCCATTGCCAGGGAGGCCGGCGTGGCCATCATCCCCGGCGGGGAGAGCGAGGGTGCGCTGGACTCGCTGGAGGACGCCCTCGAGGCGATGCGGAAGAGCGGGAGCAGCCTACGCTACCCGGTCCTGCTCAAGGCGGCCGCGGGGGGCGGCGGGAAGGGAATGCGGATCTGCTACGACGACCGGGAGCTTATCGAGGCCTATCCAATGGCCCGGAGCGAGGGCCTCAAATTTTTTGCCGACGACCGACTGCTCCTGGAGCAATACCTGGAAGAACCCCACCACATCGAGTTCCAGGTGGTGTGCAGCAAGGCTACGGGCAATGGCGATGGCGATCTCAATGCCGATGGCCACAGCTCCAATAGCCAGATCGACGTGGCAATCTTTGCCGAGCGGGAGTGCTCGGTCCAGAGACGCAACCAAAAGGTAGTGGAGGAATCCCCCTCCTGTCTGCTGACGGAGGAAACCCGCCGAAAGATGATGGAGCAAACCACCCTTCTGTGCCAGAGCGTCGGATACGAGGGAGCCGGAACCGTCGAGTGGCTCGTGGTGGGAGGAGAAAGCAACCGAGACCAGGCCCAAGACTTTTATTTCCTGGAAATGAACACCCGGTTGCAGGTCGAGCACCCCATCACGGAAGCCGTCTCGGGCGGCCTCGATCTGGTCGAGGCCATGCTCGAGGTGGGTGCCGGAAGGGGCCTCCCGAGGGAGTGGTACGAGACCGCCGAGGTCGTCGAGGAAGCGGGAGGCAACGGCAGGATGCTGGTCATGCCCTGGAAGGGGCACGCTATCGAGGGGCGGATCTACGCCGAGGATCCTCTGCGGGGGTACCTTCCGTCGACGGGGCCGCTCCTTCCCTACATGGAGCCCCCCCGGGCGGTCCGGGTGAGCGACGGGGGTGCTTCGTCTTCTTCGTCTTGGGCCGGCACGGACGGCGTTGCGTCCTACCTCCGCCTGGATTCCGGGGTCGTGGAGGGACACGTCGGTAGGTAGCGCCGTGTGGCGGTCCCGAAATGCCCGTCTTTTTCGGCGGTTGGCGTGCCCAGCCTCTCACGACGTCTTTTTTTTATTTCTTTGTTTGTCGTGTTGCCTGTTCTCTATTTTTTTGAATGGTGTTCGGCATGGCATTCGGTGTTCGCACACTACAGTCACGCCCTTTTACGATCCGATGCTCTCGAAGATCATCTCGTACGCTCCCACCCGCGAGGAGGCCATCGACGTCCTTTCGGAGGGATTGGACTCTTACGTAATCGAGGGAGTCAACCACAATGCAAGGCTGATCCAGGCCGTCCTGCGCCATCCCTCCTTCCAGAAGGGTGACACACCCACCTCCTTTCTGGAGACCCATATCCCCGACTTTGGCGGGTATTCTGTTCGAAATGGGGAGAACGAAACAGAAGACCCACCCTCTCTCTTGACGGCCCGCGAAGAAGAAGACCTGGCGGTAGCCGCGGCGCTGATCTGGAGAGAACGAGAAAGACTCCTGGGAAGGCCGCCCACCGGACGCGCAGTGGAGGACGAGAACGGCCAGGGACGCAGAGACTTTGTGGTCCGATTGGACGGCTGGGCCGGGGGCTGGGGGGACGGTGCCATATCCGTCGCCCTAGACGAGGGTCGCACCGAGGGGCTCGCGGCTGGCAGGAGGCTGGCAGCCGATCCTTCCGACCAACTAGAGTCCTTTTCGATTGCGATCGGACCGGGCTTCTCGATCGACTTCGAGAACCACCTGGCAAGCATGACGCTCGACGGAACCTTTCGGACCGTCCAGGTTCTCGGGGAACAGCCCAGCGGAGAACTCAGGGTCCAGATGCTTGGTGCCCGGTACGAAGGATGCCTCGTCCAGAGCCCGAGGGAGTACGAACTGAGCAGGCACGTGCTCCCGCCGGTGGCCAACGACACCAGCAACACCGTCCTGAGCCCCATGCCGGGAACGCTGATTGGCTTTTCCGGGGGCGTCGAGGAAGGGTCGTTCGTCGAGGAGGGACAGGAGCTCTGCATCGTCGAAGCCATGAAGATGCAGAACGTCGTTCGTGCCCCGAGGGCCGGAATCATTGCGAGACTACGGGTGGACGAGGGCGCCGCGCTGGTGACCGATCAGGTCCTTATGGAATACGAGGCGGAAGAGGGAGACGAGCCAACGGCCGCGTAGCTCGGAGCACGAAGCCGACGGTGCAACGGATCGGAACCAAACGAAACGGGAAGGAAGCGAGATGATACAGGACGGACGACGACACAAGAAGTTAGATCTTAAAAACCGTGCATGCACCAAACTACAGGTTTTGGAAACATCCCACATCAAAAGGATCTTGATTTCTCACTGTACGTACTTCAAGGCAACTCGGAAGGATAATGGTAGTACTAGTAGAAGCAGTATCTGGCAGGAGATGACAAGGAGAAAATCAAAACTATTCAAAGTACTGCAAGCCGTACTAGATAATTAGTGCAGTAGTTATGGAAGAAAGTAAGAACAAGTGTGAGGCAGTAAACTACACKGCAGTCACGAGTAGCTAGTGAATAATCCTCACTCTTTAATGTAAACCACGTATACACGTACACTAAGGAGCCTATCAACATTTCACAGGTTATGAGCAACAACAGACCTACCTCAGCTCATTAACCATCATCAGTCCCACACTGATTGAGTAGATTGATTTACTACTCACCATCTCTCGCCCGTAGAGCACTGAACTCCTCTCCATACTCAAGGATCACAGCTTTCCGCGACGAGTCTTTTCCCCGCCGAATTTTTCGAAAAATTCCGGAGGAGAACCTAGTACTAAATCACGTAGTAACCTACGGTACAACAGTTTTCCGAACCCCCGGTGTCACAACCCTCAAGAAGTAGGATATCCCAGCTCGCTTAGGATATCACAGCTGTCACATCCCAACCATACTGTTTAGATTAGGATAGCACACACAAACCACCATGACCACCCCAAAGAAACGACAAACTAGGAGGTCCACGACCAAGCCTCGCCAACAGATTTGAGACTATCTAGTATCTTCCACGCGAAAACCAAATCCAGACCGCGAACGACGCCTTCAACTTGCAGTCTTCGACGGTAACATCCAACGTGAACTCCGCACTCTCGAATTGGTCTTTCCAAAGACTTCAAACCCCACCATCTATGATGGCACCCTCTTCTCCTTTAAACCAATGCATGCTCCGGATCCCGACTCATATCTCCACTGCATTAATAACATCCACACTCCCGAATTACCCGACAGTGATAAGATAGTAATGCTTGGGGAAGATCTTGCTACCTTGCTTCATCATAATCACTTTCACCAACCTCCCACAACTAACCCAAACGAGACCCCTCGTCACCAATACAGCAGAGCCTTTCTGGACCATATGTACACACTCCTCCCACTACAGCGCGATACTCCTCCAGCAACGATCACTAAACGACCTCAATCCAGGCCTCCTCAACGATTAGATTCAAGCTCAGACAAATCGACACCTCCTGTTGCCACTACCCTGGATGATAAATCTGACACATCCTCCGATACTTCACTAATTGCTCCAGCAGCGGATCTTCAACAACGATTTGCAGAAGAATACCGCTTGGCACAGGAAGATTCCAATGCTCACAGCAATCGTACGGAGGCCAACAACTCTCCGGTGGACCCTACCATTACAACATTCGAGAGGGAGTTTGACCAAATTGATCGGGAAATAGACAGTCTCCGCACTGATCTTCACAACTCCCCATCACGTAACACCATAGGGAGCCCTCCGCCTAATCCTGCTGATCAAACTATTCATGATCGTATCTCCTCCGCTATCAAGAAGGAGATCCAAACACTCCAAGCACAACAACACGACAAGTGGTCCACTCAAATCCACTCACTTCACCGCTCTATGGAACAAATGCAATCAACCTACGATTCATCGTTGAAATCAAAGGAGAATGATCTCATCAAGGCACAAGATATGATTCAACGTCTCACCGACCAACTTGCACAAGCTCTTGCTCACAACCAGGAACTCACCCGTGAACTATCCTCAGCGACAGCACTCACCAAGGATCTCTCCTCAGCAGCATCCACAACATGGGCATTGGACCAACGCCTTGACAAAGCCTCTACAGTTCTTTCCAGCCTCAAGACCCACACCATCGCCCTCTCAACCTCCCTCGATGAAACCAGCAGTCTCACGTCTAAAACTCCGAATCTTGCCGACATCACTCAGCTTATCACTGAACTTGTCGATCAACGAACCAAGGACCTCACCAACCTCAGTAGACGAATTGAGCATCAAACAGCTACCACTGTGTCCGCACACCTCACCACCATGGAGGAACTGGACAGTTGAATTCAATCAATGATTAAAACAAACGTGGATAACCTAACCTCCTCCACAGACCCAGTTCTCCAGAGCATCAAAGATAAGATCTGTGCAGCTGCTCTTCAAGATGTTCGTACACAGGCCCAAACTCTTGTTAACCAATTCAAAACTGAATTCAATCACAACAAGAATCATCTGAAACAGACTACACAAAATTTCACGTCACAACTGCAGTCCACTCACGCTGACCTCACCACACGAATCACTGCATCAACAGTACAAGCGACTAGTGACATCGCCAATGCGGAATCAACGGCACACTCGGGAATAAAGAAAGCTGTCGACGACATTCTCCACTCTAAAACCACCACTCAGCATATCACTGAGCTCCTCCATGAATCACTATCCTCTCTAGTTACATCACCCACGTTCTCCTCTCATGTTGACAACACCCTTTCTAACTATGTCAAGGAATCGGCAACACTCAACCAACTCCTACTCCACCGTATTGACCAAGCCTTACACACCCCTGCTACCACGGCAACCGCCCAGCAGCCACCAACTCGATTTCCCCTACGGCCTCAGGATGGTACTCATCCCAACGACCCTGATGAGAACTCTAGCAACACCCCGGTCACATACTCTCAGCATTCCGTTCCCCATGAAGGGGAAGAAGACACTGATTCAGACCCTTTAGAAGACCCGGACACCCCCTGGATTAGGGACAAGAATCCCCTCCACAGACGATTCCGCTCACAGCGTGTCCAGGCGTTCCAGGCAAGACAGGAACGGATTGATAACGATATCACACATGCCCGCAATCGTCGTATCAGCAAAGCCATTCGAGCACTGGAGCTGAAGCATATCAACACAAACCTTATTCCCCGGATGTTACCAGCGACTGTCTCCGCATAGCAAAACTGACCCGTGCACGTCTTAAAGATACTGATAAGTGGGATGGCTTCTTTCAGTCCAAATGGAAACAGCTCAACCGCTACCATAAGGTTGGTATGTTTGGTGAGCCCATTGAATCAACCCCGGATATGACCATACTCCCTTGGGTGTGGACATATCTAGAAAAAGAAAACCCACTCACGGGCCTAGACGAACCCAAGTCTCGTGGCACATGCAATGGAGGCAAACGATACGGTCAAGCGGTTACACTAGCAGAGACATATGCTTCATGCGTTGAGCAACCAATTCACCACTTAACATGGGCTATATCTGCGGCCCTTAATCTCAAATGTGTGGGATATGATGTAGGCAATGCATTTGCAGAGGCCCCACCTCCTAAAAGCCCCTTCTTTATGCGAGTCGATGCACCCTTCCAACAATGGTGGACTGAATGCCTACATCGGCCCCCAATACCATACGGTCATGTTATCCCCATTCTCAAGGTCCTCCAGGGACACCCGGAAGCCCCACGTCTGTGGGATAAATATATCTCAAAGCTCCTGATTGATGATCTTGGATTCAAGCCAACAACACATGAACCTTGCCTCTACTATAAACATGATGACACTGGTCTCACGCTCATTCTACGACAGGTTGATGATTTTCTTATTGCGAACAAACATGAATGGGTCTGTGATCAAATAAGAGCCCTTATTCAACAACGGATGACTAACCCTCTTAATATCCTTGGCACAATAAGAAAATTCAACGGTATTCATGTGCAACAAACGAGGCAATTCAATCATTTACACTGTGCTAAATACATCGAAAAGATCTGTGATCATCATGGCTGGCTCCAGGATCCTACATACAAAATGCGGAAAAGACCCACACCAATGAAGGATGATCCCCAATATATCAAACAAATTCAACTATCACAGGGCCCTGACACTCCTGCTGCCGCCAAACGTCTGGAACACACCATGGGATTCAACTACCGACAGTGCATGGGTGAACTAATCTATGCCCTCACTATTTGCCGGATAGATATATCAGTTGCTGTCATCCTCCTTAGTCAACACTCCCATGCACCAGCTAAGATCCACTATGAAACTGTTCGACACCTCTTTGCCTATCTTTTAGACACTAAAGAAGAAGGGCTAACTTACTGGAGACCGGAACCTAGATTGGATCTCCCATCTATTGCCCCTCCCACTCCTATTTCTAACCCTGAAAGACTCACTAAATTCTACCTCAGCACTGACCCTCTTCAATTATACGGCTCTTGTGATACTACTTGGGCCTCCGACCGTATCCAACGCCGTTCTATGGGGGGAATCATTGTCATGCTGGCGGGCGCTGCAGTCTACTACAGGACCCGACTCCAGCCCACTATAGCTCAGAGCTCCACTGAGGCTGAATTCACCAATATGGCAGATGCTGGAAAAGCAGCACTTTATTTACAATGGATTATGATGGAACTCCAGATTCCACAACTTAAACCAACACCAATCCTGGCTGATAACCATGGTGCTGTCCGTATGGCCACAGCACAACAGCCCACCCGGAGAACACGGCATGTTGAAATGAAACACTTTGTAATCCTCCAATTGACTGATGATGAATTCATCGACTCCTTTGTTAAGACAAAGTCGGATGAAAACTACAGTGACTCACGGAGCAAACCTACTGGCCGTACTAAATTTTACGAACACACAGACATCTTTATGGGTCGTGTACGGCCACCCTACTCAACACCGCTCGCTGTAGACCCTATCCCTGCTACAGACAAAACCACACCTCTAACTGCGGATAACACCCCTTTGGTACACCGTACGTTCTGTTCCACTTGCAGTAATCTAAATCCTCTCATGGATTTACTACATTGTGCGGACGCATATGTATTTGACTACTACGACTCTTTAGATTCTGCAAGTGTGGGGGGGTGTGAGGCAGTAAACTACACGGCAATCACGAGTAGCTAGTGAATAATCCTCACTCTTTAATGTAAACCACGTATACACGTACACTAAGGAGCCTATCAACATTTCACAACAAGTACTTCTACTAATGTTTGTGATATGCAAATTGCGCGGCACGCCAAGTCTAAGAATTCCGGAATGAATGGCTCGTGTAACGTACGGTACATACGATAGTAAAGTACGAATAGTACTTCATGCACTTCCACTCCATAAGTACCTGAAACCATACGGTACGTACGAAGCGAACGTAGCGTACCAATGTTTGCAGGGTTTGTTCTTTGCATCTTTTGGGTACGAATATAAGTACGTACGTACAACACTGAATGGTGCGAACTAGCGTAAAAAACTTGCGTTTTCGTTCCCGAAAGATTATTTTCGCACCGGTAGAAAGTTCAGAGTTTCTGCATTTTCAAGGATCGATATTCTGCTTGACACCCATCACAATTCGCTAATAGCATTGTTTCTGGTCTTGAGGAAGGAAGTGCTTTCAAAAGCTACGGCACACAAGCTTTCACAAGCAAATGCGTTTCTACATGACCGAAACCTTCTAAAGTTCCTGATTGATGGATGGATGGATGGATGGGGCTCTTTCGTTGAATTTGAATTTGAATTTGTGTTGATCAACGAGGTCGGCGAATCGACAGAAAAAGAAAGAACACACATAGGGAAGGGGAGGGTTATTCCATCTCAGAGGTTCGAACATCCCTTAACCGTCTTCGCATCCACGAATTGCAAAAAATGTCGTCGGAAGGCTCTCCTCAATCGACCAAGCGAACGACACCAGGCATCGCAAAATCTCCTTTTTTCCGACCCTCCTGTGACTTTCGTGAAGAAGAAAATGGGAGCAGATCATTTGTCCGGACAGCGGGAGGAAACACCTTTCGTAGAAGCAAAAATCTAGCTGCTAGGGATAACAGTAAGAAAGAGCACAAATCAACAATCCTGGGATGCGCTTCGAACCTGGTGAATGCGATCGTGGGAGCCGGTATCGTAGGTTTGCCTTTTGCGATTCAGGAATCGGGTTTGGTGCCCGGAGTCGTTCTGGTTGTCTTGAGCGCTCTACTGACCGAAAAATCACTCCGCCTGCTGATTGAAACTGCTAAGCATGCCAACGTTCCTTCCTATGAGACGCTAGCGGAGGCTGCGTATGGGAAGTTTGGCTTTTGGTTCGTGACCATGAACATGCTCGTCATGGCTTACGGGGCAATGCTAACATATTTAATGATCGTGAAGGACATCTTTTCGTCGATACTGGGCGTTCCGAGAGACGACCTCATGATGCGTCGTGCTGTACTGGTCTTCATTTCCTCTCTTGTAATATTGCCTCTGAGTTGCCAGCGAGACATGGCCGATTTGGCGAAAACCTCCAAGATGAATGTTATTTTCGACTTGCTCATGGTGTCGATCGTAGTATATTTGGCTTTCCACCACACAGATTTTGGCCATGATTACAAGGGGATCAATGGCCATGGTGATTCCATCAGTGTCAATGGATACGTTCAGGCCATCGACTCAATAAATGCCGTTTCAGAGGGCACCGCGACGATCAGTCTCTGGCAAGTTCGATGGGATACTATTTTTGTGGGTTTGGGCGTCCTCAGTTTTGCATTCGTGTGCCAACATTCGGCCTTTATCATTGCTGGATCACTCGACAACCCCACCAAACAGCGCTGGTCGCGCGTGACGGGGAGTGGTCTTAGCTTCGCCGCCTGTTTGGCACTGGTCATGGGGGTTTCGGGATATCTAGGATTTGGTGATTATGCAGGCGGCACAGTGACTGGAAACATTCTGAATAGTCTTCCACCCCATTCTAAGCTGGGCAAAATTGCCAAGGCATTGCTGGGAACAACTATGGTATTTGTCTATCCAATGGAATCATTTGTAGCAAGGCACGCTTGTGTCGTCTTGCTATTTGAGGGACGAAAGGCCCACGAAGGAGACGATACAAGCGTTTTAAATCGAAGGGACCGCAGAATCACACTTACTACAGTTCTATATTTGATTGCTGTCATTCCGGCAGCCCTGTTCGAAGATTTAGGGGACGTCCTAGCAGTAACTGGAGGCGTTGGAGGGAGCTGTCTAAGTTATATTGGGCCAGGAATCGTGTACATCGGAATTCATGGCGATCGATTTTTGGAATTGACCGAATCATACTTCGATCGTGGGTTTCTAGGAATCAGCGAAGTCCAAACCGGCGAGTGGAATGACGACGAAGAATCAAGTCCACTGGTCAATAAAGCAACGAATAGAATGGCACTTTCCAGTGACGATTGCTTCTATTGCAAATTGTTCAAACTCCTCTCATGGTATCTTACAGGCATGCCGCTATGGATATCTCTAGCATCTATCGGAAAGGGATGCCTGACCAACCACGTAAAGGAAATGGCACAGAGATCTCCGCATCCTATACGGATCGGCAACGTGCGGTTTGCTCGTGCCTCGCTTTCTGGGGAAAAGAACGTCACCCGTGTGGTCATGCTCCAAAATCCCACCCGAAGGACAGATTCTTCTTCCATGGATTTTTCTTTGACATCGTCTTCCAACAATAATGGAAGAACAACAGGAGCACAAAATACGACAAAAACAAAGGATTCTGTACATCTCCCACACGACGGTATTACCACTAGACTTCTGCGAGCCGACTCACTTCCAACTACGGACGATGGGACTAATGTCGATCTTCCGAAGTTTCTTCCACCAGCCAAGAGCAATAACAACACCGACTACAAATCCATTAACCAGGAAATCGGTGCTGTTGCCCTAGCCACTGCTAAAAAGAAGAAAGCAGGCTCTATCAAAGAAATAGAGAACATCGCTGTCGAAGAAGACCCCCAAGGAGAGCCCCCAGGGACGTTGGATTTTGCAATTGCCATTTCATACATCATCTTTGGCCTGATCGCAATGCTTGCAGGATTAATGTCTGTATTTTGGTAGTTATTGATAACACTTCACGACTTGAACGGGTCACTCTAGAATTTATGTCTCAACATTGTTTTCGTAGGATACGTAGAATCTATAATGTTTTATCACTCTATTTCGTTTCAAATTAGCATCTTCGGGCGTCGTGTCTTGTTGTCGTCATGGAAAATATAGATCGGGCGTTACCTTGTTCTCTTCGAGCCTTTTCGTCACCAAGCCATTCAAGGCCCGTAGCCGAAAGCTCTGAAGCATTTCACCGCGTGGTCCCGGCGATGCAAAGGGAAACCAAAAGAAGGCCACGTTGAAGAGCGGTGCCCCGGGGATATTCGTCGGCAAAAAACCCGTTGCGTAGAAGCTGGCGGTAGCAGTGCATCCGTTGTTTTCCTTAGGTCGAAAGGTCACATCTAGTGTATCGAGCCATTCCAGCTTGGTCCAGGTTAAGACGTGCAACTTGGATGCGTCGGCGGTTTGGATCTCGAACTCCGGCATGTACAACTTGGCTTTTCGATCTTCCGTAAGACTCGTGAGGACGTCGACGAGGGCCTTGGAGACTTCTTCAGGGGTGCTGTTGGGGAATTCCCATTTCTCTGTCTTAGAGTTGAGTCCAATGAATTGACCAATCCAATGTCCCGGAGCAACTTTGTCCTGGATTCCGCCCTGGAGTCCCGAGACCACCGAGGGATCGGCATTAGCAGCTTGTGGAAGGATTGTAGTGGCAGTTACGGCAGTTGTTGCCATATTCGAAAGCCATTCCCTGCGAGAGAATGACCTCGTCGGTTGCGATTGGAGAGAGAACGCCGCTCTGATGGTCAGGAGGCACAAGAGCACTGAAAAAGATGTTCTCGCTGTCATGGTCGTTGTTTGTGTTGGATTGGAGTTGTTTCTTACCATTGTTTTGCATTCTGATACTCGTGGTACCGGTAGGATCATGAATATTTATTCCCGTACTGGAACGCAATTTTCTTTTTCGGTTTTTGTCCAATCGAATCGGAGGGATTTTAAGTTCTTTCAAGTTGCAATCATTTTTTCTAAATTTTCGAACAAGTTCCATCGGTTTGAGCTTTTAACCCTATCCTCAACCGCGCGGTTTCTTCCGTTTCGATATTTTTCTCTTCCATGTTCGGTACTCGTAGTACTTGGGTACTAGTGTCTACAATTGCGATACAGTTCGTAACCGTACTCCTGGTATTTTTTGACGCAGAAAAGGTCAAGATCAACAAATACGTCATCCATCGTCCATTCATCTATCTCCCGGCAATCACTACGACTACCATTGCCGCGAGGACTCCCACCAAGGTGAAAGATCATCAATCCACCATGACGCATGAATAGGAGAACTAATCTCTACAACTACAATTTATCGCAGTTTTCTCCAAACACGTTGACATTCAGCGAGCGAGTACTACTCTACCACACATGTCCGCAAATGATGCCATTGACATACTACGTGTATGATCTCACTAGACCTTTGATACTTTGAGGAGGACGCAAAAATCGGGGGAGTAGAGTGAGAGAGGAAAATATAAATAGTGAAACCACCAATGACATTTGCTACCATGCTACCGAACGCAAACCATCGTCGCTGTGCCGCTACATTAATGAAAGGGAAAAAGAGAACGTCACTGTCACCATCTCTTTTTCTGTCTCTAATTGTTTTACTGCTGCATTATCGCCGCAATCGTATCACACAAGTGAATTCTTTCCAATATAAACCAACTCCAACCGTTCGTCACCAAACAAGGGGGAAAAGTCCAACAATCAGAAATATCATCATACTTAATGGACCGTTGACACCGTTGACTTTCAGTTCGTCGACTTTCAAATTATCGTCTTTGCCGTCCTCTTCAGCACCATACAACACAACATTAACGGAGACGAATGAATCGAAACCGAGTGAACGCTGGAAAAAAATGTTTGCATTGCTTTACGAGTTTCGAAAACGGGAGGGCAATACAATTGTACCATCTCAACACGTCGAGAACGGAGAAAAACTAGGATCATGGCTCTACTACCAAAGAACTTTGATGCGGAAGGGAAATCTTCCCAAGGAGAAGCTCGAACAACTTGAGAGCCTCGGCGTCGTAGCTACCGCAAGTGCCAGACAACTCAAGTGGGACAAGATGTTTGAATTGTTGTCAAAATATCGAGACCGTGAGGGTCATCTAGATGTTCCGCAAAGCCACAAAGAAGACGGCGAAAGCCTTGGAAGCTGGCTCGCACACCAACGAAAAATGAAACGTGAGAAGAAACTTGCGAAAGAAAAAGTCGACAAATTGGAAAGACTCGAGGTGGGTAATGCTCAAGAAACGATACACCTCTCAAATCAACATAAACTGGAAACGGTGGGTGTCGTCTTTGGAGAACACACTTGGAAGGACATGTACCAGCGGCTTGTGCACTATCAGCAGCAATACGGACATTCCTCCGTTCCACAAAGTTACAAGGACAAGGACGGGAAAAACCTGGGGACCTGGCTCAATACCCAACGCCAGTCCAAGAAACGTGGGACCCTTGATCAGAAACTCCAAGGGAAGCTTGAGGCAGTTGATGGCTTTGCTTGGGAAATTTCACCCGGAATGTACCGATGGGATGCCATGTTTTCCCTCCTACGAGATTATTACGAGGTTGAGGGACACTGCAACGTTCCTAAAGACTACACTATCAGGGTTGTGGCAAATATCGACGATGTCCAAGAAAAGCGCCTCGGTTCATGGCTCAACCAGCAGCGACGATCAAAATTGAAAGGAAATCTCGGAGCCGATCGCCAGCGAAGACTTGAAAGCCTTGGTGTAGTTTGGGACTTGAGCATAATACAATGGGAAGAAATGTTTGTCCATTTACGAGACTTCCGTGAGCGAGAGGGTCATTCCAACGTTCCGAATCGTTACAAAGTTGAGACTTCTTTCCCGCTCAAAAATCTGGGCGCTTGGTTGCAAACTCAGCGTCGATTGAAACAAGAAGGAACGCTGGACCAAAACCGTAGAGAGCGCCTGGAAAACCTGGATGTGCAATGGGAAATTTATTCAAAATGGGAAAAACTGCACCACCTTCTTGTTCAATACCAGGAACGAGAAGGAAATTGTCTAGTTCCCCAGAATCACCTAGAGGAAGGCAAGACTCTTGGAATCTGGTTGAACAACCAGCGATCGAGAAAAAAGTCCGGAACTCTCACGAAAGAGCAGTGTTCTGCTCTTGAGGATCTTGGAGTCGTTTGGGATGTTGCTCCAGCACAATGGGACTCAATGTTCAATCTCCTGGTGCAATTTCAATTGCGAACTGGACATTGTCGTGTCCCACAGACACACAAGGAAAACGGGAAGAACCTTGGGACTTGGCTTAATGTCCAGCGCCAAGCTAAGCGCAACGGTACCCTGGATCGGGCAAAGGAACAAGAGCTGGAGAAAATTGGTATGGTCTGGAACGTGGCTTCCGAAAGCTGGGACGAAATGCTTGCACTCGTCGTTCGGTATAAAGAACGAGAGGGTGATTGCTTGGTCCCCTTAAAACATACGGAAGATGATAAGACCCTCGGAACCTGGTTGGACCTACAGCGAAGATTCCAAAAGAGGGGCACCCTAGATCCCGAAAAGGAACGGCAGCTTACTGAGATTGGTATGATATGGGACAAACTGACGTACAAATGGGAGGTTATGTACTCACGACTCCTGGAGTACAAAGAAAGAGAGGGTGACTGCAGCGTTCCAGCACTCCACATGGAAGATGGACAGGGACTTGGTGCGTGGTTGAACTTACAGAGAAAACTCCATAAGAATGGAAATTTGGACCCATTACGTCAGAAACGACTGGAAGACGTGGGTGTCGTGTTCAATCGGAATAAACAACGGTGGGAAAGCATGTTTGCACTGCTGGTACAATTTCGAGAACGAGAAGGCCACTGTCGAGTACCCCAAAATCACAAGGAAGGTGTCAAACAGGAACGACTTGGGAGCTGGTTAGACAGCCAGCGCCAAAAGAAGAAGAAAGAAAAGCTAGACTTTGCCTTGCAGACTCGTTTGGAAAAGGTTGGTGTGGAGTGGAGCATATATACTACATCTGATATGAACGATGATGACGACTGGGGCTTTGAAGGTATGGATCATTTATTCGATGACAACGACTTGATGGCTTACTAATAAATTATCAATGCCACACGCACATGAACTCATCAAGTCTAAATGCAGTTGTCCAATCCGTGACTGATGCATCATGGTCAAGTACTAATATCAATATACATCCATTTTAGAGTAGAATAAATTAACCACGAAGTCCATATTCAACATGTACTGTCCTAAACCAAGAAAGTAGAGTCAACAAAAACTATCGACAAAACACATAACGAATAGAGAGAGTGAACAAGCCATGAAAATTCAACGATGAAATCTGAATCGAAGAACTCTATTCATCTTGCTCCATCTCACGGATCATATTTTCCCATTGTTTCTTTTCCTCCATAAGCTTTTCACGAAGTTTTTTCTCTGGTTCAGTTTCGAATGGCACTACAACCGACATTCGGTGGGCGCCAAGGATAATCGAAGCCGAACGCAATCGGTTGACTTCGTTTTTGGCCGAAAATTCAGAATTGATGCATGCAATGCTATGGCGGGGKTTCTTTCCCTCGGATACGAGAGGAGTACCTTCTGTCACGAGCTCTTCAGCCTCGTCCACATCGTCCTTCTCAAGGAGCGCATTATAGAACCATCCTAAGATGCAAATGGCCGAAAACACCGGAATGTAGAGAGCAAAGGGTGTCAGTTCGTGGTTGTTTTTACCTGCCTCTACTTCTTCGGGAGAGCGCAAAACACATGCACCGACAAACAACGGGGTTGTAAAGCTTGCCACCTCGTTTGCCATGCCAATGATGGACTGCAGACGAGCTTGCAACGGCTCTAACTCCGGTCGAATGTGAATGTATCTCGAAAATTCGGATCGAGTCGCGGGTCCAATTAGTGGGTAACCCGCCAAACCGATTGAAATTGGCACCACATAATCCATCGCCGTAGCGGGGTATATCCAGAAGGCATACATCCCGATTCCAGCCACAAACCACAACATAAACCCGACCATAATCATTGTCCCATCTCGGACCTTAACTTCCGTCGACAAGTATAAGGAAATGAACGTAAACAGCACCAAGGTTACTGTATTGCCCCCCAACACAGCCGAGGTCTGAACGGGTCCCCAACCCAAGCCGTGCATAGCTGCGGGAGAAAAGGATGCCTCGATTAGCTGGTAGTTGGCGCCGACCACATAAGTCGTGATTAGCGGCAACAACAAGCGAAAGGATTTTAGTTCTTTAAAAACATCACTCCATGCAGCATCGGTAGAGCCGGTCGTGTCAGCAGCAGCAGCACCAGCAGTTTGTGCTTCGCTTTCGCTTTTCTCTTTCTTTGGCGGCTCGGGCACGTACAAATACATTAGGACCAAAGCAATGATATCATTGGTGGCGATGAGCAAGCCAACAGCGTTGAGTGCATCAAGCGGGAGTATCCATCCGGAACCCAGAACGTTCCACTCTGTATTCACGTTTGAAATCATCGAATTAAAAAAGGGTCCAACAGCTAATCCTCCATATGTGGCCATGGATATCAACTGTGTGCTATAAGTAAGCTGGTCGTGTTCCACAACCGAGGCAATGTAGGAAAAGTAGATTGATCCCGACGAGGCTCCGATCCCATATATAATTCGAGATAACAACAAGACCCATACACCGATAGGCTTGGGAAAGCAAATGGCGACGGAATAGAGGATCATCCCAATGATGGAGAAGATCGAACCGAAAAACAAGGGAAGCCGATATTTATTGCCCAATGCGTCTACCCACGAGCCATACAAGGGCATCATCAGAAAGGAAGAAAAATTGGCTGACGCCAAAATCAAACCATATTGTTCATCCGATCCGCCCAATTCTCGGACATAAAAGATCAGCGACGGCATAACCGCCATGTAGCCAACACATTCTAGAAACGTCATGAATAAGATTGCCGCAAAGGTAATCTTGAACTGGTTGGAAAACGGGCTCATCGCTTCTGCCGATGAGGATGGATCGTCAGTAGCCATCTAAAGTTTCTATCAGGCGTGCCTGTTAAATTGAAAAGGAATTGTATTGCTTTGGAGCACTATGGCACGAAACAGTCGACGGATCAGATGCCGATGACAACCAAGCCGTATTATTAATGGCTTTCACTACCGTACTGTAAGAAAATAGTTTGTTTTATGATTGCATGACTGCCAAGCGTGTCAAAAAGTGTTCTGTTCCTACTGTAGTCCTACTGGATGGTACCGTATCCCATACATTATTTCTAGACATTTCTTTAGCGTGCAATCCCACGTCTTCCGGAACTTCTTGTAGATACCGTGTACTTCGTACGCAAGATTGAGGTCAGTCAGATAAAGCCCCAAATAACAGGTCGAAAATGGCCGCCATGATTTTGTATTTTCGGTCGGCCATCTGATCCGAAGGGCATATTTCCCCAATCGAATCAACTCGAGTCGTTCTTTTTCGTGATTGATTGCAATATAACCACTAACACGTAACAGTGTAATAACACCAGTAATGACACCACGAATATCACGGAATAACGAATGCACTGGACTACCACTTTCACTTGACCACGGGAGCAGCTGACCTTGAAGAATAGTCGACCGATGAAAAATGTATCTCGGGGGCAAAGGAATAACAACTCCATGAAAATATGCAGAACCGGTTTAGGTTGTTAAATTTGCACACAAAATAGTCATTACATGTGCAAAAGTAGATCGATTTGGGGGTTAGGGTATATATAGTACATTTGGGCGTAGCTGGCGTGGCAATAATGAGAATGCAACTTTAGTTGCAAAATGCAGGTACCGTAGTAGTGTTAATGATGTTGAGAGTTGGCGATGAAGAACCTCAAGCTCTATTTTGCTACAGTGGGGGACATTCTTTGACACCATCTGATCATTCATGTTCAGCAATGCCGCAACAGAAACAATTTTTCATGAAATACTTAATGTCACAAATTGTGATCAGTAAGATCAATTAATTGATAAATGAGGGTTTCATTAAGTAATTTCCATTGCAACAAACTTCAAAGAATTTTGACAGCACTTCTAAACTTACTGATATTATTCTTTCGAGAGGCTATATTGAGAAAAAAGGGACTGGTAGTGCTTCCGCTAGAACTATCAGGGAAGTAATACAACAGAGAGAAAGATGGAATGATTGGATGTACTATGAACCCGCTAAAACTCTAGGGTTGATTTTACATGCATACGTGGTAGTTGTAGAACAGAAAAATTCTTCGTTGTAAATACTACTTTCTTGAAGGGACCACTGAAAAAAAACAATAATCTACGGTGCCGAAAACCGAATGCGGTGCAATTTATTTATCCCCTGTGCCAGCGAATTATTCTACCGTATCTTGAAGGAAGGCTGCCTACAACTAGCCCCCTGAAAAAATAAAAGTATGATTGCTCCCATCGATGTGGCTGAACAGATCGAAGGTCGACCAAAGATCGACGTCGACCTGCTTACAGAGGCCTCTGTAAGTGGCGAAGTCTTTTCAAGGAGGAAGAGCAAGGTGCAATTTCATGCAGTCGAAGTACGTGAGTATGCTCGTTCGATTGGTGACAATCCAACCGCGATGGATGGACCTCCTCTTGGATTGGGTTGGACTTATCAGAACCTGAAAAGAAGCAGTTTTTCAGAAAAATCGCAGCGCACCGAAAGCAACATTGTTGTAACTACGGGCAGTGAGACTGACACCACTGTTGACGACCACGATGAATCTATCACCATTCCCATTGACGAGTACGAAACCGCGACAAATGAACGGCGTCGCCGCCGAATCATGAAGCTATTGAAACTCAGAGAAAACGCGACATTTCAATTGAAGAAACAGAGAAGTCGCGCCACTCAGCGGCAGGCAAGCACTGGGAACTACTACTATAAAAGCAAAGAAAAGGACGACAAGTTGGATCCCAACGAGCTTACGGATGAGCAGATCAACCAACTGAGTGCAACGTGGCTAAAGATCCAGCCAGTCCCTGGAAAAACCCGCCGAAAGATTTTGCTGGAAGCAACCGATATGTCCCAGAATCAAATTGAAGACACAGTTCGTGAGCTAGCGAAACTCCGAAATCAGCGTCGATCCACGCAAGCAATGGCGGAGACTGGTCTTGACGACTTTCAAGCAGCAGTGGAGTTCTGTGTCCGACGCTTGCGGAGAATACGATTGGGAATGAGCAAAAAACGAGAGCAGGAACTCCTATGGGAAAAGGCTGAGGAATACTGGAAGAGTATTGAAACGCCTCATTTCAATAGAGACTCCGCGCCCCGTAGCGCTCTAAAAGTGTGTGAAGTTGACGACAAAACAGAGGACTAAACGATTCCGACAACCCAGAAATAGATAAGTTTGCACTTTCGTTGAACGTGGCATAGGGAGCGCGAAGATTACATTCCGAATGTTGATTTCATATCCCAAAAGTTCACACCGTAGGCCTGTGTAGAAATGAATTCTATAGTTTGGCTTGAATTTAGCAAACATTAACATTTGAAATGTTAGCAGGCAATGGTATCCTTCTTCCTCAATTTTAGATCCCTTCTTCCTCTTTTTAAGGTATGTGCAAGACCCAAATAATTGTTTTGGGAAGGTAGTGCACTACCACATTGAAGAATGGGGACTACAGTGATATGCTAACGCTCCAAAGGTCAACTTTAAAATAACATTTTGAACATTATTTCTAACATTTGGTATGTTACATTAGGAACATTCAAGTTCAATTGTTATTTCATGGAAGTATGCTCCACTTTTGAAAACAGGTAGTAGCAATACAAATCCTTTCACTTCTTTGAGAATAAAGTTTGAAATGCCAGTCTCTACACTAGTATGAATGGATGGGCTAATTTTATAGAAGTGATATATCCATGATCAATAAATTTTGACTCTTTGCATCTTAATTTGAAATGCTGATAGGCTCCTTACTAGTGCACGATAATCATGTGTGGTTTACAATAACAAAGGGTGGTGAGGAGCTTATGCACTATCTACTCGTGATTTAGGCTCACATCCTTAGTATGTATAAAGATTATGTATGCATTGTCATTTAACATACTCATGCCCCTTTAACATTTTATAATCTACTTGGTTCATGAATATATGAATTCCATTAATAATGCAAGTAGAAATTCCTCCTCTGTCCCAGAAAGCAGGATTGAGAAAGAATAATAACAAGCACCTAAAGTTTGAAATAAAGTCAACCTTTGGGCAATTTTTTTCTTCATTTTGGATCACCATACTAACCAGGGCAATAGTACATCATGTCAGTACTACATTTGTTGCTAAAGTTATTCTGTAATTGGTGTTCAGATGAGGCTTGAAATGAGTTATGGGATTCCAAGTTTTCTTCTCCTTGAGATAGTCCTCCTTGTTGGTGATATCTTCAAATCTTCTCAAGCTACTTTTATGCTCGTCCAATGATAAGGGCTTTGACACTGTAGAAGAAAATGAATAACAGCAGCAATCTTCTGATTTTTGGTCAGAACCCTGATTTAGTGGTGTTCATGGAGACTGCTGGTCAGCATGATGCAAGCTGGAGCTGGAGCAGTGCACCATCAATTGTCGCCATTATCTGTTCTGCTGAAGAAAGAACCAAAACTTGAAAAAGTGAGACAATGGCAAAGCAAACAAAGAGAGGATTGATAGATTGATTGCTTGTTGGCATGAGAGTGGAGTCAAGAATGGATCCCCTATCAACAGAGGTGGCAACAGAGACTGCAATGTGCTTTAAGAATGTAGTGCAGGGAACATGAAGGATGCTGATGGATCCCCTATTGTCAGTAGAGGGAACAGAGATGGCAGAGTGGAGGCAATGAACACAAATCCCCTTACAGTAGAGGCAATGGAGGAAGTGTGAAAGCAGAAGTCATCAATGCATCCCCTCTCCTCAGTGGAGGTAGAATAGTTACAGCAGTGGACCAAGTGGAGCAGGGAATAGAGGCATGTGGATCCCCTATTAATAATTTACACCAGGTGCACAGTTGCAGTAGCACCTCCCCTATCAGTGTAGGTACCATGTCACTTCTTGAGGTGCAGAGGGGTTTGAAGAATTTCATCTTGTGAGTCAATTGAAAGGAAGAAAGAAGGCCTTCTTCTTTGTCACTCAAAATGGATGAGTAACACAATCAAGAGTGAAAACGCCACATGATAATAACACAGAGAACATGTTTATGTGTGAAATAACACAAGGAAGCAATGCTCAATGCACCTTTCTCCTCAAAGAAATCCTCCTCAATTTTTGCTTGTGTGCTCAGCAAAACTAAAGAACCACTTGACACGCATTTCCTGGAGGAGCAACAATAATTGGCTCCCTCTAGTGACCCACAATGACCCCACAGGAACATTCTGAATCAGGTTTACAATAAGAATATTATGGTAAGAAGGCTCTCTGTTAAGTCGTCATGTTCTTGGATGACCTCCTGTCGTTCCTGTAAAACCCGACTGATGGTAAAATCATATCCATATGCTAAATAAGCATTGCAATCAGAATGATCAGTTCACACTTTTAAAACAAATTTATACTACTAGATTAGATTAGTGCAACTAAAGAAGCATTCAAATCATCAATAGACCTACATTTTGGGATAGAGGAAGCAGCTATTATCTGTATTTACTTAATTCCTGCTGATCATACTTATTTTCAATGGACGTTTTGTTTAGGATAATAGATGAACGAAGGAATCATTCAAAATCGCCATCTTTAGACGGTGATACATTCCCCACCATACTGATTCCCTCTCAATGAATCTCACACGCCACACTTGGTCCTTCATGCTGATCTATGCAAAGGGAACAAGTGCGGAATCATTTGCTGGTGATATTTTGCTTGTGGCAACGCTCTCTCGAAAAGCCGAAAAGCGTTCCAAAGCAACAGGCGGTTGCTCACCAGTTACCAGGGCAGCCATACAGTCTCCTATCAGAGGCCCAAACTTGAAGGCCCGCCCACTTCCGCCCGAAAAGACGGCAACTTGGTCAGCAACCTTGTCCATGACAAAATACGAGTCATCTGTCATGGTGTAGGGGGAAGTGTATGATTCAACCCGTTCCTCAACTTCGGGGAGGTGCTCGGCAACCCATCCGTCCATTAGCTCTAGAACCTTTTCGGACCCACCGTAGTCGAAAGTATCCATGCCTTCTAAGTCTCCACCTGATGGGAAATCGACGCCGACCTTGACATACGTGTATTCGTCCTCTTTCCCATTGTCAGGATTCTTCAGGGATTCCGTGGCACTGCTCGGGAAGACATAGTATAACCCACCATCTTCTTTGCACTGCCCCTTGCGAAAATGGAACGCCTGGGGGATAGAGGCTGAAACGGATTTCTTTACACGGTAGTGGGCCCATTGAATTTCCCACACCTTGATATTTAGTTTCGGTAAACCCGCCGATTCTAAGACGCTGTTGGTCCAAGGCCCGGCCGCAAGCACGACGTTGTCGGCCTTGATGGTCAATCCGTCCTCGGTTGTAGCAGTAACTTTTTCATCCTGGACATCCAACGACACTATTTTGGTATCGAGATGGATATCGCATACCTCATTCGCAATATTAGCCATGGCTTCGCAAGCCTTTGATGCCTTGATGTGCCCAGCATCAGCTTCGTAAACGCCACTGTAAGGCTTTCCCTCAGATCCCTTCAACGCCGGATATGCCTTGGCAATTGAATCTCCAGTTTCAAAAAAGGTGTGATCCAGATTGAGATTTTCCATGGTTTTCTTGGCACCCAAGACGGAACCTTCAACGGTTTCGCCGGTATCTTCTCCGTAGAAGAGCAATCCATTTTTTTGCAACAAGGTTTGGCCACTTTTATCTTCGACGTCCTTCCATCGGTCGAGTGCAGTCGCTTGCATCTTGCTAAAAAATTCGTCGGAATACATTTTGCGGTACATTCGTGAATCTCCGTTGCTGCTTGCAGAAGGAGGAGCCAAGGTGGGTCCTCTCTCGACCAAAATCGACTTGATATTCTTTTCTCCTAGTGCAAACGCAGTGCTACATCCAGCCATGCCCCCGCCGACAATTAGAGTCTCTGTTCTTTTGGTATTATTTTCTATCCATTCAGGAAAGCTTTTTCCGATCGGATCTCCCTTTCGCGTTGGGACCACATCTGAGACCACGTCGATCATTCGTTCGGAGACTTTTTCAGCCAGCTCAACCATATTTTTTGCTTTCTTTTGGCTCAAACCTCGGATCCATCCGTACATGAGAGTTGGTTCTACAGTCTGATACAGATCGATATCGAACCATTCAACAGAATCTGCCAAAATAGCCCCAGCACTACTGATGCTTTCTGGCACGTGAAAAACACCTCGTTCCGCAAAAATAGCTTTCGCGTTTTCCGCAAAGGGGCTATTCGTGGCTCCAGTGCAAAATTTGATCCCTTCTGGAAAATTTTTTGCTACCTCTTCAGTAATAGCAAGTGAATTAGCACAAGGCACCAAGAAATCTGTTGAAGTGGAAGCCCAATCCTTGATGGGAGTACAACCCTCTATTTGCGCTGACGACTCACGGATGTCGCAAGTTTGTACTTTCTTTGCGCCAAGACGAACTAATTCTTTAGCAACAGTGGACCCGACCTTGCCACATCCCTGAACAGTAAACGTCAAATCTGAGATCGCAATACCGTCCTCTTCGTGGGATTCGATCAACCCCAAAATACTACCAATGACACTTGCCGCGGTGGCGACGTTCGTGTCCACGGCAGAATCACGACCAGCCAAAACGTATTGCTCGTTTGTTGCTTCTGTGAGATAGTCCATGTCAATATCGCAGGTGTTTAGGTCGCAACCCGTATAAACAGATCCCGCAAGCACTAAATGAATACAATGGATTAAGAATTGAAAAACATTTTAGAAAAGGAAAATATTTCACAATCCCGTTGTCTCCCAAAAAAAAATAGTTGGAAATTCAACTGCCGTCTTACCTTCCAAGGCCTTGGCGATGTCTTCCATCAATTTTTTTCGGTTGATGCTGTCTATTGGAATATCGGTATTCGCGACTAATTTTGCTCCAGAAAATCCCGTCCGGAACATGTCGTGTTTTCGGGTCATACCTTCGGCGAGACGAATCTATTGGGACGTTGTTGTTTTTGAGCAATAAACAATCTGTGTGAGTTTCCGTGAAGTTTCGTTTGATCGAAATTTTCAGCAACTTACTGCATCGTCAATTGCGTGCTCATCGGTCTTATAATCCAAGAGTCTGATACCTCCATTTCCAGGTCGTTCATGATCGAAATCTCCGTCTGAAGCTATGTATAGTTTGATTCCATCCTGTCTCACAGGAGCTTCAAATACTTTTGCTTCTCGAGTAGATTTAACAACCTTGAAGAATTCTTGAACAGCACTGTTGATGTCAGGAAACGAACTAGCGGGTCGTTTAGATGAAATTGACGAAAGGGCGAATACTTCTGTAGATACCAATACCCCAGAAAATATCACCAATCGAACAGCGGTACGAAAAGATACCATGGTTGCGTGTAATGAGCTGTGGACAAGATGCAATTGTGTCTCCTTGCAGTTTTTGTTTTGGTATATGGAAACATCGGAAATCAAACACTATTCGAACTTTCATACTCTATTCGACCTTTTTTACCGAATATATTTCTAGAAGATGAATGCGGAGTCGCCAGATTAATCCGGAACAGAATAATCATGTCAGAACTCCACAAGTTGCTGGTGACTCAATGATATCGCACTTTCGATCAGCCGCCTCATCAAACGTCTGTCGCCCATGTGTCATTTCGAAGATGTCATGACAGCCATTCATTAATCGATACGAGTGCTAACTGAGTGGGTCGAGTCACTTTCGATGACTTCTACTCAAAAAAGCTACTTTCTTCTCAAGAAGTAACGAGTGCGAAGAAAAGAGATTCGTTAGCGGATAACCTGATAGAGATCGGTTTGCATTTTTCTTGGAAATTACTCAGGATTGTGGTTGCAAAAGAAGAACTGCGACTTTTACCCGTAATCTGATCTAGCCAATCAAATGAAATTAAAAGCGTTTTTAGTCATTTGAGGAAACGCTTACGGTAATGAATCGCGAACTGTGACAAGATAGTTTTCATAACACCTCAGAGCCAGTCAGTCTTTTTATTCACATCAAAAGATTCTCGCACAGAAGGATTTGATTTTCAAACTTGATGGGAGTAAAAACTGTGTTGAGCTCGATTTTTTTCCTTCCGGGAACCGATAGTTTTTCGAAAAATGGGACCGATTATCCCACAAAATTCAGAGTAACGCTGTACGATAGTTTAAAGAGGACAGTTATGATAATGAATCGAACGATAATGAAACGAACGTTCGGCGCTTGGATGGCAACGATTTTCAGTTCCTCGATGAATGGAGCAACGGCCTTCGCATTGAAATTCGCAGCTGAGAACGTCCATACTCCAGTCGGGAAAGACGGAGAGGGGGCATACACCGCCGCGACGAAGGGATGCTTCGACGTCATAGACATGGCAACTCCCTTAGTGTTGCAAGAAATATCAGAACAGCATATTAATCCTGATAGGGCCTTCCACGTTGCAGACTATGGAACAGCGGATGCGGGTACAAGTTTGGGACTGCTGACCAAAGTCGTTCGAAGCGTAAGAAAACGAACAAGTGGGGACGACAAAAAAGAAGTTGTTATCCACTACGAAGATCAGCTCAACAATGAATGGAAGAGTGTCTTTAACCATGCTTTGGGAAACATCAAAGTTACTGACGCTTATAACAACGAAATCGATACGCCTTTCAATCTCGGAGGAGTCTTCGTTGAGGCCAATGGTGTTGGCTTTCATCAACAATGCTATGCTTCAGGATCGATTGATTTGGGCGTGAGTTTCACCGCTATGCATTGGCTGAGTTCCTCTCCATCGTCATTAAAGGGAAGCAAATATATGCATGCTGCTCGGTGTCTCGATGGACCTCCAGAGGCAGAGAAACTTCAGGCCGAAAGTGATTGGTACAAAATACTAACAGCACGTTCTAGAGAACTCTCCCCTGGTGGACGCTTTATCTGCGTCAACTTTTGTGTCTCAAAAGAAGGATATTTTTTGGGACAGACCGATGTTGGTTCGAGCATGTGGGATTCTTTTGCATATGCATGGAACAAACTCGCGCAGGATGGCATAATCAACGAGGACGAACAATTGGGAGTTTCGTTTCCAAATTATTATCGCACAACGGAAGAATTTCTTGCTGGAATTGAGCGGTGCCCAGACTTGAAATTGGTTTCGGCAGAAGAGAAGATTGTGAGATGCCCATACCGAGAGCAATATATCGACAGCGACAGCAAAATGTCCGCAGAAGACTATGCGAAGACATTTGTTCCAGTAAGTCATTTCAAAATGTCATATTGTAAGATTTTTGTTTTTGTAAGCCATATACGTTATCTTACGATTTTCGTTTTGAAAAACAGACAACCCGAACTTGGTCCCACTCGACTTTTAAGACTGCACTGAGTGACAAGAGGTCCGACGAGGAAAAGGAAAAGATTCTCGAACAGTTTTGGTCGAACTACGAAGAACTTGTGGCGCAATCACCGGAAACACATGGTATGGACTATGTTCACTCTTACCTCGTCATCGAAAAAGTTTGATCATTGATTCTCTGCGGTAAAATGAATGTTTTTTGCCTAAAAATACAAATAAACTAGGTGCAACATAAATAACTTTATTCTATTGCACTTCCTATTTTTTGGTCATATGAATCCCACAAAACACTAATATTTCACTGCATTGGGCATGGTATTCAAAAACTTTGTTGCGAACGAAAGGGGTCTACGCTTGGCAACACATCAAAAAGATTGCGTTCTTCCTCAGTAGCTCCAACACATGGACAAGTTGATCTCCAGCACCACCGGCTTCGGCTGACTTCCTTTCCTTCAGTTATGATTGATTTTAAGTTACGGAGCGCAGCCTCGCTGACATTTCGGGGATCTGGAATGATGAAGGGGAAAGCAGGGTAATTGATAATCTCTGTCGTCAACTCATCATAGGCGGTACCGTATATTCGCAATAGGTCGAATTGTTTCAGATGGTGTTTTTGCTGCTGGGACGATTTTGCCGTAGGTGGAGGTCGAAGCATGAGGTTCATGCGATCTGAAAGATGGGAGGCCGCGGCCTCGAGTTTACAGGGAATCATGAAAGCACACGAATCAGCTGCCTGTCCGTATTTTTCCCCGATCAGAGCTATGTACTCAGCCGGAATGGTTTCCGCTGCCGACATAGTCAATTGAATATCTTCCGAGAGACGCTTCAAAGCCACCGAACAAGCGTCGTGTATGGAGCTCTTGACTCCAAGGTCAAGCTGTTTGCAGAGTGCTTGGCCAAAGACAGAAAGCATCGACAGAACGCCCACAAATATGGAGGAATATATATGGATTTCCTCGTTGGAATTAATATCGGCCTCAAAGATAAACACCACCAAGCCTGCTACGAGGGCAAACAAAATTGAGGGCAAAAACAGGAGCCAATTATGAATAGCTCGTAAGTGCTGAGCTGTCAGCCTATGGAGATGCCTCTCTTCCTCGATGCTGACGAAAAGATTTTTCATCATATTTGACGGATTTGCAGCCACCTTTTGGGTAGTAGCGAGGGTATGTCGAATTATGTGGTGTTTACTTCCCCCTCCATGTCGGCGAGATCGAGCCGACATTACACTCATAGGAGGTTTTACACTTGCCCCTTCGGCCATGTAGTCATAAAGGAACTGGCGATGCTCGTGTTCCTGGTTGTCGTCAGTTATCACAGAGGATATCTCGTCGTCAATGGCAGATATAAGAGGTGATGGAAGTGATGGCGGCCTTTCAGACTTACGATGATCGAGATTATCCTTCTCAGTTTTGTTTACTGTGTTTGCAGGTTGGATGGGGGAGCGAGTTCCAAAACTATTTTCGTTTGATTTTTGGGCCGATTTGGTTTTCTGTTCTTCGCCTTCGCCTTCGMCTTCTTGCTTGCGTTTTGGTAAAGATCGAAAAACACTATATGGATAGATCTTTTCGACTCGATTCTTGCATCCATTATTGCTTGGAACCTTCTTTTTCTTGAGCGCGTTCCGAACGACAGCGTTTCGGACTGCTACGGTTGTGGTATTATTCATGGCTGGGGTCTCAGAGCTCGAATGAGAAAGAGCCATGAGTCCATCATGAGAGCTCGAAAGCGTTTCTCGGGAACCTTCATTGACAGTATCTAGTGTATCAAATTGACCATCGAAACTATCGTTTACAAAGATTTTGTCCCCTCGGCTGCTGTAGTTACTGCTACTACCCTTTTCACGACTCGGAAATGCGCCGGAGTTTTCCCATCGCGCCTCGTTGCTAGGCATGTTGTTTTGTGCTAAAATAAAGGATGGCTTTCGACACCTGTATAAGTTCTTAGTTTATGGCACAACAACATTCCGTACGAATCCTGAGTGCACCTCCATTTCTTTCATTTGTTTCAAACTTGGTTGTCCATCGAATTAAAGAATTTGTGATAAAACTCAGTCTCGATTACGGTCTCTTCATGTGTGTTTTATGTAAGTATTTTGCTCTTGTTCAGATTCTATTATTTTTAGCTTAGTATTTTTAGTCGTATGATTCGGCTCGCTCTGAATCCACATGGATATTCAGTCGCGAAAGAATTCGAACCATGCCGTACCTTTGCATGACACAACATCAAGAACATCAAAAAGATAATCAAGACAATCAAGTTACTTTGTGTGAAAGTGAAGATGAGTGTAGTAGTTTGTAGCATCATCAGCAGCAGTCGTTGCTGGTGTTATGGGTAGAAACAAAGCAGTACAGTAGTACTTAGTAGGAGGAGGAGGATTCAATACCAAAACGATGGTGGTAGTATGACTGGCTATTTTATGGCGAAACATGTTGTTCCCACAATATGTGTAACAGAGATGTTAAGGGAGTAGTCATATACAACAATTTTGTTGGGGTCCGACCTTCAATACCCTCGAAGTAATAGGAACGAGACTTCTGTAAAACGAGCATATGATGATTTGCCATCGTCATGGACATTTCAATGACCCAATTGCAGTATTAGCGCACTGATTCTCCTGTGCTTTTGCTAAAGTAAGCCAACACCTCTCTGCACTTTTGACAGTCACGTTAATTTTTACACTTCAAAAAGCATTTCCTTTTGGCCAGCCAACATGCCTTTGAGTACGAGGCTTGCTGCTTTCAAACTGCAGTAGCCTCTAGTCACTCTATCAGTAGTTTTGGAATTTGTCTGAAGCATTGACTTGAAGACAAAAATTGAATCTTTGTGGTTTCATGACATGGCCATTTTTGGATGTTTGTGGTGCCTTTCAATTTAACCATAGCGAACCATTCGAATTTGAATCGAATATTTCACAGCAGGAACGCTTTTCTTTCTCGTGACATACCATTGATTGGTGTTGCTGGCAATTTATCGTGATTGATGAACGACGACGCAACTCTTCGAATGGCACACTGCGATGACGATCGATCATTGCAGCTCTCGTGTCACTGCACCGACATCTTTCGGGGCCGTTCCGCTTCATTTCGCAGCGAAAAGTTTGAAACCATTTTACTGGTACTCTTTTTTATTTTTTCTAGAATGAAGTATTGCAAGCGATGCGAAGTTTGAGTATGTCCAATTCTGCATTATGAATGTGTTGGCAGCTCGTAAAAAAGAGGAGGGAGTTGTACGATCAATGTACCTACGATATAAATCGAAAATTGTCCTATTGAGATAATACTTTTAATCTGGATTTTTCATAACATCAGTGAATAGTTCTCTCTTCAATCGTTTTGATCATTTGATAGCAGAAGCATATAAAATTGCGTTTCGATAGCAGGGTGTTTTGTCAGAATTTTGGATTTGAACGTATCACAACGCCAATTGCAGTTTTGTTTGGGCTATGGCTCGGCGTGGTGTGGATTGGTAGCCGGTTGTCGCCAAACATTCAATCGTCGAAAGCGGTTTCATCGGGATCCCATTCCGCTTTTGCAATGGAAGACAAGCAAGAGAATGCGTGCCGGTGGTAGGCAAGCAACAACCAAAAGAATGCATCTCGAGGTGAGCAGATGGTCCATTGCCTTCTAGAGCGAGGATGACGTTTTTGCCGTCGTGAATGGTGTCGGCTTCGTGGATGTAGAAGGCGACAGTTTGGAAGAGGTCGAGGATACCCCCAGATACCCCTTGACCAATTCAAAGGTCCCAAAGCCAATGGCCGAAAAGGCCCCGCTCCACAAGACCCGCGATCCGGCACCGGCGTACAGGCCCTTCCAGCCCACCTCCCCGACGACGTGGAGCATGCAGGATCGAACGCCGAGGGGACAACTCCCGGTTGCCATTCGCGTTTTGACCACGTCGATTGGCGTCATGGCGAAACTGGAAGTCGCTCCGGCGACGGCGCCGGCCAGAAAGGTGCCGGCGGCCCGCAATTTTTGGGTTTGGGGGCTGCTTCCGCTCTCTCCGGAAGGGGCCGTGGCCCACTTTCGTTTCAGTTCCTCGTACAAGACAAAACGAATCGTGGCCGAGGGAATGTTGCGCAGAAGGGTGGCTCCGTATCCCGCATACAGGCCGGAGATACCGTTTTGCCGCACGATGCTGCCAATGGCCTGAACCGTCCCCGTGGTTGCTTCCGACGCTCGTATCTGGAGCTGCTGCTTGATAACTTCCTTGGGGACAAAAACAAAGGAGGAAATCACGTTACCACTGGCCGCCGCAAGGCCGTGGACGAAGAGGCGTGCTCGGTAGTCGTCGCTGTCAACGTTTTTGTGGTTCTTTTGAAAGACCAATCGCTTCAGGGTGACCTTGGAGGATTCGTAGGCCCCAAAATAGAGGGCCGACGAGGGAATCGCTCCGAGGGCCGCCGGGAGAATCCCCCGGTAGACACGCCGGAGCGCGTTTTTGGATTTGAGCATGGTCCAGAGGGCATCCCTCACCGAGCTGTAGGCAGTCGGATTCGATTGCCGCAGGGTCTTGGCCGAATCGATTGGATACAAAACGGCACTCCCGGTGGCCCCGGCGAGTCCACCCGCCAGGGCGATCCTCAGGTAATATGAGAGGGGCATCAGCTCCAGCGTCGGGGTGACGAATCCAGCGGCAGCGGCGGTGCTCCCGGCACGCATGTGAAAGGCGGGTTGCTTGAGGGAAGACAGCGGCGATTGGCTCGCCTGCTGCGGTGCGTTTTTTGTTATTCGTCCAAAGGGAAGAGTGGTGGCACGGACGAAAGAGGGAGCTGCCAGCAACAGAATCACGAGAAAAAACGCAACCGATAGGTTTGCAACCGCTGTCCCTATTCCATTTGCGTACTCGCTCAAGGAGAATGCCCTCCTCGCCATTGCCGATCTCCTCCGTTTCGATATCCGTCTGCTACCAATTTTGTTGTTCGGTTCCATTGCAGCATTGGTATTTCTTGGGTCTCGTCGGTGAGGACATTTCCGGGAGACCTTGGCATTGCTGTAGATCGTTTGCACCATAGTATTGGGAATGTCAAGTGTTACGTTTCTGTCGTGAGAGAGTGTGTTGTCAAGGCTGACACGAGGATACTCTGTGTAGGGTACAGTACCTGCTACTGTGCAGCACTGACATGCACCAGCTCGTTTCGGATGGGAATGTTTTGGGAGTTTGGATTCGAGCAGCTTTTATTTCATTCAACAATTCCACTCGACGTCGCTTCGGGAAGTTCCCGTTTGGGCATCGCATCACCTCGCAACAGGTACTCGTACTCGTACCGGTACGTATGAGTATGAGAACGAACTCGTGCTCGTACCTTCGACGGTACCGGTACGTACGGTACGGCATCTATCGGGTCTTCCGGATGTCGATGTTGAACCATCTGCCGTGTGTCGAGGACGGGAAACGCCTAAAACTAAAAAGTATCATAGACCAGAATGATCTCTACGATGCCATACGTGGTCCGTACGAGGCGAGAATAAAAACCTCGTACGATAGGGTTGAACTTGGGTCACGTGCATATCGGAAGCCCGAAAGGCTCACGAATGGCGGAGGCAGCTTGTGATGTCACCCTGGAACCATGTCGATTTCGATGTTTTTCGAAAAATTTAAATTCTCCGGTCCCCTTTTTTCCATTATGTGATCGGTTTTGATCACAAAAAAATGTGATCAGAAATGATCACAAAATTGATGAATTTCTTGATCACAATTTTTTGAGATCAGTTTTGATCACATTTTTTCCAACGGATTAGAATTAATATTTACTTTATTCTTCCATTAATATTTATATTTGATATATGATATAATTATATATTAAATATATTAAATATATATAGTATATATATAGTATATATATAGTCATTAATGGTCATGTTAATTCTAATAGGGCATATTATTATGTTGGTAATACAGGACTGGTGTACTATTAGTAGTAGTACAAACGTGTAAAAATACTKTTATTATTTATATWAGGKTATTAAAWTMYTATATAAAAACGGGACTAGTACAAAATGTACACAAGACAGTTCGAATTTGTGATCAAGATTGATCACAAAAAACTGATCACAAATTTGTTATTTCTGATCACATTTTTCTGTGATCAAAACTGATCACAATTTTTGGTACCCAGAGGGGGACCTGGGAATCTAATTTTTTTCCAAAAAAATGAAATCGACATGGTTCCTGTCTCCTCCAATGGGTGATTCCCGTAAACATATTAATATGTAAAAATGAGGCTGGGCGGCTCAAAAAAATATGTAAATTACATATTTTTTGGTAGTCATAGGCCCACGACTACCAACTTTTATGTAATTTACATATTTTTTAATTGGAATTCTTCAGTTTCGGAAGTTTGGAAGACACATTCTGTCTTCTTGAAAATCCCAAATTGTTGGAATCTTGTGAAATTAGCACAATTGTGCAGGATTCCAAATTCCAAAAATGGGGGGAAAATATGTAAGTTGAGCTGGCAGTCTGTGTCTTCTGTACCACTGAAAGTGCTTCCCGCTAACATATCTCGAAATATGTTTGCGGGAATCACCCAATGAGAACACCCTGAGGAAATATGTGTCCGAAATGCACCTTTCCTACTGAAGTAAGAAGCTCAATAATTGGCCACTTTGAATGGTTCTTTTTTGTCTTATATACATGTGCTTTCCCTGAAAGAGTCTGACAGGTAGTAGTAGGAAGATTGGAATAGCGCAGGTGCTCAAACCAGCAGAGCAATTTTCAGTATTGATGATATCGTCATCATGTTCTTCTTGCTTCTTCTTGTTGTTACTACTTTGTTGTTACAGCAGGTTGAATGGGCAGACTGGTGGGGTTCTTGTTCCTCTAATAGTCATTTGTAGACCACACTTGCAGCAATAAAGAGCCAAGAAAAAATTATGAGGCTATTATTTGCTTTGGTAAGGTGAACTCTCTTATATTGTTGGTCCTCATCTTACTACTAGTTCAAAAGAGGTGTGCATGGCCAGCAGCATTCTTGTCAACATTTTTTTCATGTGTGGTTACCTAATACTAGCACTCCTACTAGAAAGCTGTAATTTCATTTGAAAGAAGGAGAATTTACTCACATGCATGCTCATTATTTCTATCCTCCTCTTGTACTGATTCTACCACACATCATGCTGAAAAATCATTTGTGGTGGAATCGTCCAACAACTTATGGTGCTGGAAAAAACTTCCAGAACCCTTTTTGAGTTAACTGGGGGTCACTATTTCAGGACCGCTGGCAAAAAGAGTCACTTCTTGGTAGTACGCATATTCTGGTCCAGAGGAGGTATTACTATTAGAAGTAGCTTCTAAAAGTATGAATATTAGCCGGTACAGGAGGGCACTACTACTAGTAGTATCAAACCTGGATTCTGAATTCTCTGTCAGTTTTTGTCACCTCATCTCCTAGTACCAAAGGGTTGAAGGAGTTTACAATTAACTCAAGAATATTTAAGTAATTTGATTGCTTCTTTCTTGTTGTTGTGAATCACACCATCAAGAAGATCTAAGAAAGGATGACTACTAGTACCTCTTGAAATGACCTAGTACTAGTACTATCACCTCTTGGATAAAGAATAAGGATTGGCGTTTTCAACTCTGCAGGAACATGTGCAACCCCCATGAATCCATGTATGATTTGAATCCTTGTAACAAGACAAATATGATAGGTATAATATTCATTCTTAATGAATACAATATAAAACCAGTCTCACTTTAACAGAAATCATTTTGGTTGAGGTATATATTATATAACGTATATAAACAAGACAACTTCATGCCATCTGAAAATTTTGTGTCTTTTTTTCATGGCTTGCACACATGTCATCATCCTTCTAGCAGTGGAGTGGAATAGTGGCCAGCATATATTGTACAGAGTTGGTGGCCAGACAATCTATGATCCAGTAGTAGATTTTGGACCATCTTTCCCTATGTAAAATATGTTGACAAATGTGCCAAGAGACATCACAAAATCTTTTACAACTACACCAATTGTTTAGGGAATTTTTGCTGTGATGACAATTGATGCATTGGAAATGTATTCTTGATGAACATATTTACCTAAAATACCATCCAATGTTGCACCAATACTGCTTAATGATGTTGGTAGCAACAAGACAACTCATTGTTGATTGTTGGGTCAAACTACTTACAGCATATGCAGCTGTATGGAGTTGCCCTTTGTAGCAGTAACGCTCATTCAAAGAAGAGAGATTCCAATGGAGCACCCATTTGCAAATTCTGCCAGAGCAACTATCACAATGATGAATGGTTTGGTCTTGGGAGAAGTGGTGAGTACTGCACTAGAGTAAGGAATGAGAAAACATTGTTGAAAGGTAGGAGTAACTGGAACCCTCCAAGCAAAATGAGGAGTTGAAAGATAACTCTGAGTACATGAATTTTTAATTAGAAACAGAGGATGACAGAGATGAAGAGGAAGCTGCTAGTATTAGTACTACTAGAGATGATGGTGCTGTTTCACCAACTAGTAGTACAGATGCAAACACTGTTAGTAGCAGCAAACTAATGCTGCCAACAGTTGATAGTACTACTAGTACTGAGTCAAGTGCAGCTGGTGGAGTGGTTGGACCAATGGAAGAAGTGTACCAACCAACAAAATAATTATTACTAGGTCAAATATTGATAGTTTTATTTTGCTGAATTGCTTGCTCATTCAGTTCCTCATACATTTGTTGCTCATGTGTTTGCCTGTTGCTCATGCTGTTGCTCATGCGGTTGCTCATGCAGTTGCTCATGCAGTTGCTCATGCGGTTGCTCATGCAGTTGCTCATGCAGTTGCTGATATGGTTGCTTTTTCTGTTGATAAGTAGGCTGCTGGTTCTCACTATCCACCTCCTTGTAGACAAAGGAATCAAAGGAGAAGCTTTGATCTAGCATGTAGCAAGATGTTCCCACTCATCATAAGCAAACTCTTTATCATGTGGAATGCAAGGGCTGTGGTTGTTTTCCCTCCTCATCACAGTCCTGTAGACCTCAAAGAACCACTCATGTTTGTCACCGACCATCATCTTCTGAGGTAGCAGTGACTTTCTTGCAAACCCAGCAAGCACAATAGCCTTCTTGTGTCTTTTGGATACTACTAGTACTGATAGTACTAGTAGTAATAACAGCAACAAAAAATCCACTCCACCAGAATCAGCATTTCAGACTTTTTCTGAAGCTCTACTACAACTACTACTAGCATGAAAGGATATGGTTGCGACTATTGTCTTGTTGTACAATTGACAGAAAAGGTTAGTAGTAGTAGTACTAGTATACTTGTTTGGGGCTGTTTATTGCCACTCTACCCATTTTTCATAGGAGGTTTGTACCACATCACCACCATACTGATAAACCTTTTGAATTTTTGTATCAATTGATTTTGTATTATTATTCACTCCTCCTAGTAACCTTAAAAGTTTTACTATGTGCTCCTATTAAGTGTCCTGTTCCCTCCTTGAAAAGCTGTGGCATGGAGCACAGACAATGGGCAAACTGTATGAGACACCCATTCTTTTGATTATGCAAGAAGATAGTGTATGGTACAGAATATTTAACCTTGTGAACTAGAAGAGGCACTACTATGTGGACCAGAGCCATTACTTCTCCTGACCACCAGTGAGAAGAATGCGCCTAGCTGCTCTAAGGGGCAAACAGTCCAGTTGTTCCCAAAATCATCTGAATCCATGATATGAACCAAATTTGCATTGTCTGATCATTGTCTCACCATCATCTTAAGAAGTCACCAAATGGGGGTGGCATCATCATCTCATCTGATTGTCAAATGGCCCAGTTGTTCCCAAAATCATCTGAATCTGTGACAGGAATCAAATTTGCATTGTCTGATTATCATCTTATCCTCATCTGAACAAATTACAAAACAGGGGTGGCAATGGCAATAGAATCCTTCCAATTTTCATCGTCTCTTCATCGTCTCATAATCGTCTTATCATCATCTCATGTAAAAGTAAGAAGTAACCAAACACATGGCCCTCAACAAGAAATTTCTTTCTTGCTTGTCCTTGTTTTCACAGCTGATATGAAAGGTTCCCTTTCCCCCAGTGGCATTGTTCCTGATGATTTTCCAGGAGCTGTTGGATTGGTGAACAATGAGGATTGCCCTGGTCTAGGATGGATCCTTTGTAAAGAGTATTGGGAACACAAGGAGGGATTGACTGGTGGTGAAGCATTTGATTACTTTGTCACCAAAATATTGTCTGCCGTTACCCCAAGTCCCACCAAATTTCAGGAACAGAAAGGAAGTGAATTGATAGGCAACATATTTAGTGTTTCAGATGAGCCTTTTGGTGTTCTACTTCTCCAAAACAAATTTCATGTTTGGGTGAATCGCATTGAAAGATTGTTGGACAAGAGCATCCTGAAAAGAACAAAAAA